AGGAAGGAGGAGGAGGAGGAAGGAGGAAGGAGGAGGAGGAAGGAGGAAGGAGGAGGAGGAAGGAGGAAGGAGCAGGCCAGGTGGAGGAGGAGGAGGAGGAGGAGGAGGAGGAAGGAGCAGGCCAGGTGGAGACGGCTCGGGACAGCAGGTGCAAATGGCAGCGCAGCCCCTCGCGCCCCCCCAGCCCCCCGTAAGCCTGGTCCCGTGCCCAGCACCCCGCGCCCCCGCCCTACGCACCTCTCGGAATCAGCTCCCTCCTCAGTGCTCTCCGGGGGCGCTGGGGGCTCCAGGCCCGCTGGGCCCTGTGGGGGCAGGTCCCCCAGCTCCGGTGGGGCATCGCCACCTGTGCAGGCAGCGGAGAGGGAGGCTGGCTGCAGCGCCCGGCGGACACCGAGTGGCTGCTCTGTACTCCAGTGGGATGGACACACGGACGGGCTTTGTGCTCTGCTCAGTGGGGGAGGAGGGTGTACCCCATGTAGGGATGAGGACACTGAGACTCATGGGGTGACCTGGAGCGACTTCCATGATACAACTCCAGCGAGCCGCAGAGCCAGGGTGTGAGCCATGCAGCCGCCTGAGACCCACGGGGCTGGGGGCCACACGGAGACTGCAGCAATGGGGCCGCCGGGCGCACCACCTCGGGGGCTAATGCGCTCAGAGCGCTCTGGGAAAGTAAGCCACGGGGGCTGACGGACACGTAGTCCCAGGAGGAGGGAGCCCGTCCCCCCATGATAGAGGTCAGAGCCTGGGAGGAAAGCCCGGAAAGGGTCGACTGTGGGCAACAGGTGGTTCTATTAACAACACTGGTGACCAGGAGCAGGTGGCGCACGCAGAAAGCCAAGGGGCGGCCTCACCGGGGGGTGACCAGGAAACTCTCACCTGGTTCCCGGTCGGGACTATCCTTAGACAGTGGGTGCAGAGAAATTCCGGGGGTGTCCTGTCCAGACACCCCAACATTCCGGTCCCGGGAGGGCACCCCCAGGCCTCCCTTCCGTTCCATAAGGCCTGGCTTCTCAGCTGGGGAGACAGTGAGAACGGAAGGCAGAAATGAATGTCTAGCAACACTAACCCGCGACAGCCTAGGGGGCCCAAGATGCAGGCTCCAGTCCCCTCCTCCCCATCACCCAGGGGACCCTTCCCAGCCTTCCTCAGGTCCCCAGGGGGGAAGCTCTGGCTTCAGGACCATTACCATCAGCTTCCACTTTGGGGTGTCGAAGATCCGGAGCTGAAACGAGAGGTGGACCATGAGGTAGGGGCAGCGTGGGGAGGTGGGGCCAGGGCCCAGGCCAGCGCCTCACCCTGCGGCTCTCCCCGGCTCCAGCGGGCAGCATCCAGAAAGATGCTCAGTCCCTTCTTGGTCTTGGTGGGCTCATCCGCCCGCCGGTTCCCCATGACCTGTGGGAGGCAGGAGGGGCGGGGCACTAGTTATTTCTGAGATGCCAGTGAAGTGGAGCCAGCCCCCAGGGGCACAGAGTCGGGAGGCTTCCCAGGGGTCTTTGGGAAGGAAAGGGCCAAGCTTGGGCACTCAGGAAAGCACCTTTTTTCGGAAGAAATTCCTCCCCGACTTCTTGTCCCCACTCTTGGTCCGCACCCCAAGGTGGCGCATGTACAGGCTGATGGCGTTGACCACAGCGGCACTGGGGATGGGACAGTGAGGGTCCTGGGACGCACACACTGCTGCCCCACGGCCTCCCCCCAGGTCCCCTTCCCACCCCAACCCCACCACTTCCCACTGAGCGGCTGAGGGAAGGGGAGAGGGTCCAGGGGACAAGCCGGGTTGGCGGGCAATGCCCAGGCCCCTCCCTCCTCCCTCTCGCTGTCCCCTCTGCTTCCATCACCTCTTTTCCTCATCAGGAGAAATGGTGTGTCTGTGAGAAGAAAGAAGTTTGTGACAAACTTGCTAAGCCTGGGGTCCCTATTCCCCAAGCACAAAGGTCCAGGTCACTGTCCGCCTGGGCAGGCAGAGAGGGGACTGTCAGGGCGACTGGAAAGGAGGCCCACATGAGGAAGGAGAATCTCATCCAGGCAAGAACAGGACCCAAACACCAGGCCCGAACAAGAGACCATGGAGATCTGGAAGCTGGAGGGAACCCCAAAGCTGGGAAGGGAAGACACAAAACCAGATGAACTAAAGGGCTTGCGCTGGGGAACCAGATGTCAGGGAAGAGCCCACATGCTGAGGACAGAATGACCCCTGGGCAGGGGACGCCGTCCCCACTCACTGCATCTCCTCCAGCTGGGTCAGCTGCTGCTCAGCCAGGTGCCGCTCCCGGGCCTCGAAGCCCAGGCGGTCGCGCCCAGCCCAGGCCTCCAGCTGGGCCAGCTCGTGCTCCCAGGGCGTCATGCCCATGAGCCGCTTGGAGCGGAAGTCCTCCAGCTGCCGGCTGAGCATTGCCTGCTGGCTCTGCCACACCTCCTGCACAAACTGCCGCTGGAGATCCTCAGAGATGAGTTCCGGCCGGGTGCGGTCTGCGGGGACATCGGCAGGGGCTGGGGCCGGTTCCTTGGGCCTCTGACACCCAACCACCCTTCCCTGGGCTCCAGTGGCCACACTTCCTGGGGCTGCTATCCCGCTGTCCATGGGAGCATGGGAGCGTGGCCTCCCCTGCCCAGGGCTCCCGGGGGACCTGGTCCCTGCTAGAGACCTCACTTTCACCCTGCAGCCCCCTCTACTCCTTACCAAGTTCAAAGGCAACTGTGGCAGGGACAGGCACCCGTAGAAGCTGCTTGGGAGAGAGCAGGGAGTAAAGGGGAGGACCTCAGGCCAGGGCCCACTGGGGAGGGAGCAGTGGAGGGGCAGCGGGCTGGCGCAGGGGCTCCCCAGGCCCGGCCCCCTTCACACTGCCCTCAGTGCGGTGGAAGCTGGGAGGTGCAGTGGCTCTCCAGGGCCAAGGGGCAGGAGGCCTGGGGCCACTCCAAGGTCTCTCACCGCTGTCTTGTCCAGGAAGCTGTGGTAGAAGTCGAGGAAGGCCTTCTTGGCCTCCTTGGTGCCCAGGGAGCCCAGCATGTCCGCGTGCAGGTAGCACAGCTGAGGAGACAGAGGGTAACTAGTCCTGCCACCAACCCAAACCACTCCCCCTGGAAAGCCTCCGGGCTCAGATCCTCTGGGAAGTGCTCCCTGGTCTCTACCATCCCCACACCCAAGTGCTTGCCTCCTTGGGGCCACCACAGGCATTTGCCCTTTTTCTATTCTGTGAAATGGTTCCGTGTGGTTCTATTTGCTCCGTGCTACCGCTCCCACCACTAGGCCAACCACTGAGGGCTGCACGGATGCAGGATGCTGTTCTGAACCCTTTAACACATGTTAGCCTGTTCAATCACAGGGAATGTCAATATCCCATTTTATAGATAATAAAACCAAGCCCAGGAAGCCTGCACAAGGTCACACAGCCAGTAAGGGGGAGAGCTGGGATTGGGATCCAGGCAGCCCGTCTTGGCCACACTCCACTGACTAGAAATACTGTGAGCAACCTGAGGGGGTATGTGTGGGGCTCGGATTCCTCTGTCCCAGACAGCCCATTGTGCAGTGAGGGCTGGGAAATAAACAGGTGGGCAGGTGGGGTGCACTCCTTCATTCATCAGGCAGGCGGTCTGGGTGCCAGCCATGGGCTGGATGATTCCAGCAGTGCAGGGGGGACTCTAGCCAGTCACGGCTCCTGGGGGGGATCTTGTCGGGTGAGGGGCACAGTCTGTGTGCTAAGGCCTTGCCCAAGTGGGGGTGGAACTCTGTTTCTCCACTGTAAACACTTTCAACAAATCTATGCCTGCACCCCCATAAAGTGAAACTCCACAAAAGGCCAGGAGGAGGCAGCTTGGGGGGGCTGCAACTATCTCCCAGCTGCTCCCCCAGCCGATGAGATGAGGGAGAGGCATGGGGACAGATCTGAAAATGCTGGAGGCCATCTGTGTCACCTAAGCCAAGCTGTGGCCCTCACCAGGCCTGTTTCCACACCTATACAGGGACACAGCAGTCAGTACCACCCTGGGCTTAGGAGGATGACCACGGAGAGGGCCAGGGCCTCCATGCCCTAGGGGAGGGGAAGCCAGTTTTCCAGAGAGAAAGCAACTTCCTGATTTCCTGCCAGTTTCTGAAGCTCTGGTGTCAATCAACTGGCCCATTGCTCTGCATCCCCCTGCATCCCACCTGGCATTTCTGTGTCTCCTTATTTTTCTGGAGGGACCCGCTATGCATTCTAGCACAATGCCCTGGGCTAATCCCCGCTCGTGGCCTGTGCTGAGCTGTAGTGGGTCTCCATGGGATGGGACCCTTGTCCACAGAGTCCCCTCCAGCCAGAGTCGTGGCTTTCTCCTAAGTCACCTGCTGGGTTCTCTAGACTGTGCAGATGTTTCTGGACAACACGAATCTCCACCACACCTCCCAGGCATTTTCTGCCTGATACGGGACATCTCTGGGTCAGTTCCATTCTCTCTGCCTTGTGGGCTGGCCTGTGGTGGTTTCTTGTTTCTGGGCTGGGGCCTGGTGAGCTGCCTAGATCGGAAGGCTAATGGCTTTCTCCTGAGCACCGGCCCTGAACGACTGACTGGGCGCACCTGCTGAGGCCACACAGCAGAGGATTCCATTTCCAGAGTCCCTGGAGAGGGTGCCATCACTGATGGTTGACACTGCCATGGACACAGGGATGGGGGCATGGTTTCTGCCAGGCTTCTGGATTCCCTGTTGCTCTCTGTGTGACCCTGCCCTGTGTACCCTCCTGTCCTGCACTCTCTGCTCCCCGTGTCACTGTCTAGATCACATGGCAGGCTCTTTGGCTCTATTTCTAGAGCTTGGGCTGTACGTTCTGGATGTTTTCCAGACCCTCCTGGCTCATCCCCACTGGTGTACCCCGCTGACTGCTGTGCGCAGTCCCAGCCCCCCCTCACCAGGGGTCCCGGCTCAAACTGCAGGGCCACATGCTGCAGGAGGGCCATGAGGTGGGCTGGGCGCCGCTTCACCTGCTCCAGGCTCTGGAACTGGCTGTTCTGCTCCTCTGTGCTCTAAGGGGGAGATGAGAGGGAGACAGTGGGAGCAGATGCGGGGCCCTGGGCTTGACCTCTCCCTTCCCTGGCAGCCGGGACAAGCCAGGTGATGATGGTGTCGGGGCAGATGTCGGGCAGTGGGTGAGCCTGAAGGTCATGATCTTGGTGATGCGGACAAAAACAGAGAGCTGGGATGGGGCCCGCGCTGTAACTGGGGGCAGTGGTAAAAAGTGGGGTTTGAGGGCTGTCATGGGGCTTCAAGGATGGGGTGTGGGCTGAGGAAAGGGGGTACAGGAAGAGGAGGGAAAGAGTGGGCAGTGAGGTGAGGCAGGGGACAGCATCTGAGGGCCTGAGAACTGGACCTGGGTAGAAGGGGACACTGAGAACGGGAACTGAACTGAAAACCAGGGACAGGAGCTTTTCCACCCCGTCTCCCTCTCACCGACTCCAGCTCGTTCTCAAAATCCTCATCCTCAGCCCCGATGATACTGACTGGCACCAGGCTGGGCCGGGCGGGCCCTGGGGCCTGTGGAATGGGAGGGATGGCTTCAGCCCACAGCGCTCCCCGCCTCACAGCCCCCCAGATCCCTCACCCCTGGGCTCCCTCCACTCACCACCCCTCGGGAGATGTCCTCTGCCTCCATGGGCTCACAGGGCTGGGGGGACAGGAGGGGCCATGGTCAGGGGGTGGGAGGCGGCACAGGGCAGTTACTCACAGATTCCTGGCCTAGGTGTGAAGGTGAGTAAACAGCCTCCCCCCCATCCCGGCCTCCACAGCTCAAAGGGGCCTCTGTGTGGCGACAAAGAGCCCTTCAGAGGCCAGCTAGGGCGGGGAGCCCGAGGACAGGGAGCCTTGTTGTGGGGGAGGCTGGAAGCCCAGGAGCCCGGGTCTGTGACAGAGCTGCAGCTCCGAGGCTTGTATTCTCGGGTCCCTAATGGAGGTGGGGACTGAGGGCTCAGACTCTTGGGTCTGAGGAAGGCCAGGCTGGTGGCCTGGCCTCCTGGGTATGAGTGGGGAGGAGGCTGGGGTTGTGTCCTGTGAGGCAGGTCTGGAGGCAAGGAGAGCTGGAAAAAAAGGGGAGGCAGGTGGGAGCTCACTGGGGTGTAGGGGGCTCTCCTCTGATCTGTGACAGACTTGGGGCAGGATGCCACCTCTGAACCCACCAGCCCCACTTCCTGTGACAGGAAATCACAATGACAAATCCCTCAACCTCCAACTCTCTTCACATAAGAAAACGAAACTCTGAACCCTTCTCCTTCAGGGACCAGGAGTTCCCGAGTCCAGAAGCTCTTTCCCCCAGGGACGTGCCATCTTTCTGGCTCCCAGTCCCAGCAAAGAAGGGATGGTCCTGAGAGGGCTCAGCCCGGGTGGGTCTGTCTCCTGCTCCCTCCGTCCGTCTGTCTCATGGGCTCTTTCCCCAGCCAGGTCTCCCAAGCCGTCTCTCTCTTGAATCGGCCTCTTTCTCCCGGTTTCCTCATTATTCTCACTCCCTTGCTTCAGATCTGTCCCACTCTGCTCACCGGCTCTGCCCCCACCCCCAGCCCCCTGCTCCCTGCTCCCTGTCTGTCCCCTCTGCTGCTGCCTCTCTTCCGGTCTGCTTCCTGCAGCCACAGGCCCGCACCTCTCCAAGTCGCTGTCTCATCTCTCTCTCTCCCAGCTTGTCTCCCTCAGAGTCTCCACTTCTCCCTGTGTCTTCCCACCGACATCTTCTGTGTCCTTAATTAGTCTGACTAATGCCACGAGAGCCCGTGTCAGGCGGGAAGGAGCTGTGGAAAGAGGGGTGGGGTGGACCAGTGCGGGGGTCTCTCCCTATAGCCCAAAGCTATTTATAATCCCAGTCACCGGAGACCCACCCTTCTCCCTCTTCCACAGGCCTCCCTCAAGCTCAATAAATAGTACCTATGACTTTGATTACAATCATTGAACAACAGTGCTTTCTGGAGTGTCCAAATGCCACCCTATAGGTTCAAGCACCGGAGCTGGCATCGTTTTTATTACTTTCCATAAAGTGTATCTGCCCAACATCCAAGGTTGGGTAGTTTATGATTTGAGCACTTTTTAACATTCACGTAAATAAATTTGCAAGCCAAGGCCGAAAAATAATAGTAATTATTTATTATGAGAGCTAAGCTTACATAGCACTTAAAGGGTGCCAAGAATTGCTCTAAGTGCTTCCCACATATTAGCTCACTGAACCCTCATAACCACAAGCACCCCAAAGCTATTGGTATTCCCATCAGAGATGGAAAACCTTCATCAGGCCACCAGCTGCAACTTCTGGGCTGGAAAACTTAACCATGGACATGGAGGGTCCAAGCTCATCCTGCTTAGTGGTGGGAAGTTTGACAGAGCAGGGAGATTCCAGAGGGACAAAGGAGAGGATACATATTATTTGAGCGAATGCTCAGTGCCTGGCAGGCCCCAAATCAGGCACTTGTCATGTATTATCTCCTTTATTCCTCACCACAATAGAAAATAACAGCTGGCACTTAACGTGTACTACATGCCATTAAGTATGTGCCAGGCACAGCATTACTACTTTATAAGTATTAACTCATTTAATCCTCATAGTGACCCCATGCGGTTATAATTATTACCATACCCATTCTACAGAGAAGGAAACTGAGGCACAGCTCAGCTTCAGACCCAGGTAGTCTGGCTGCAAAATTTAGGCATTTAATTACCAGAATGTGCTGTTTCAGACCATGGGCACTCCAAACCAGCCTTAGAAACTAAAATCTGAACCAAAGCTGAGACACATGAGGATTCCTCATGGTGTCTGGGATGGTGAGGGGTATGTGGGCACTTGGCCTGGGCAGGGCCTGCAGGTTGGATTCAGCTGCTCCACAGAGCCCTGGGGCTCAGAGAAGATTCTGGCAGGGCAAGTTGAGGGTTGGATGCTTAGGAGATGTGGGAGGAGAGGGGTCCACAAAGGCAGGGGAATTAAAGGCTGAAGCTGTCAGATGTATCTACAACAACTGACAAGGCATGGGGTCCAGCAGAGTGGGTGCTGTGTGCATGGGGTTTTGGGGATTCAGGGCTGGTTTAGAAAGTCCCTAGGGGTGGTGGTCCTAGAGCAAAGTGGGCACGTGTGGGGGAGTACATAGGTGCCTGGGTTCTATGCAGCGCTCAGGGTCTTTAAGACACTGAGTGGATGACCCTGGTCTCCAAGAACCTCTGGGAGCCTTAAAGAATCTAAAATACATAGGGTGAGTCTATAAAGGGTCCTTGGAATGCATAAGGCCCCAGATTCTATTTGACACATGGTGTGTCTGCAAGGATCCAGGGATTACATAGGATCATGATTCCACAAGGGGAGTGGCCAGTCTATAGGACCTCTGGAGATTTAAAAGGGGATTAGAATTCTACAGGGGCATGTGTTGGTCCTGAGAGCCAGAATCTACTGGGCCCCGGATTCTAGAGGATGCTATTGACCGATGGAGTCCCACATCTTTAAGGAGCCAAGTCTCCCTGGGGAGGGGGAGGTGGGGGCGGGACCGGACATGGTGGGTCTGCAGGCCCTTGAAATCTCTATATGGAATGTGGCGGGTCTACACGAGCCCCAAATCATACATGGAACGTGGCGAGTCTACACGGGCCCCAAATTCTACAGGGACGTTGCTATGTGCAAGGCCAGGGATGCTGGGGCGGACATGCGGAGTCAGGGCCTGACGCCCGCCACGGGACGCGTCCCTCACCTGCTCAGAGTCGGAGGAGAAGGCACCGCAGCTACCAGAACCGAAGACTCCGCGCGCCGGCTCCGGATGCCCCCGCCCCCGCGTCGCTCTAGCTGCCCGAGTGAGTCTTAGCATACAGCTCCACTCCTCCCGCCAGCCGCTCTAGCCCTACTCCAGCTAGGCTACTGCCCCAGCGACTCTACTCCTCCCGCCAGCCGCTCTAGCTCTCCACCGCGCCACGCCGGCCAGATAAAGGCTGCTCTAGCCTGTTTTGGAGGTCTGGCGTTTCCGTATCTCTAGTGCTCCCGTCACTCTCCTGGGCCCCGCCTCCTTCCTCCGCCTTCCCCGTTCCCTCCCCGCCCTCGTTGCGGACCGTTCCAGCCCACTCCGCCCGGGCTCGATCCGAGATTTTCCAGTTGTCCCGGCCCTGAGACCCCGGCATGGGCTCTCCGGCCTATTTTGCTTCCCTAACTCCGGAACCAGCTGAATTCCGAAAGCTCATGTATTAATTTTCCCCGCACCCCGCACAGCCCGCCCCCGCCGCTGCACACTTTCCGCTGGGGCTGGAAAACAAAAATTCTGGGTTCCAGCGTACCTTTCCCTGACAAGCTGCATAACCTGCGGCAATTACTGTACTTCTTCCCGGGCCTCAATCTTCCCGTCTGTACAATGGGAGAAGATCTCAAGCTCTGTACCCTGCAGTCCACCTCTCAGGGTCGAATTAATAGCCCCCCAAACTTCAAGCTTCACAGAGGCCTTCAGCTCTGTTACTGTTGTTTTTCTTTTTAGGTGGCCCTAAAGCATGCGGGGTTGGAGGACCGCGCCTGGCGGAAAGCACCTGCGAGTTCAAATCCCAACTCCACATGGTCTCCGTGTGTGTGTGCCCCAGGACGAGTGTTCGGCTCCCGAGCCTCAGTTTCCCTACCCGTACAATGGGAGTGATCATCCGTCCTCCGTTGGACTGTTGCGAGGCCCTGACCCCGGCCTCGCAGCCCTCGTCCCCACTTACTGGGCACTCAGCGGATATTCTCCTCTCTGTCCCCCCTTTGACAGATGGGAAAACCGAGGCTCAGGGAGGGGCGGCCGCTGGCTCAGCGGGGCCCCAGGAGGCCCCTCCACTGCGGGCAGCGCCCCAGCCCCTCCCTCCTCCTCCTCACTTCCCCTGGCGGCCGAGGGGAGGAGGCGGGCGGGGCCGCGGGTGGTGTACCTGGTGTCCGCGCGGGGAGGTGACCGGCGGGGCGCCCGGGGTCGGGCTCGGCGATCCCGGGCCCTGCGTCCCGGCTCCCGCTTCCTGGCTCTGGCGGGGCAGGAAGTTGGGGCGTTTCTCCGGAGCCCCCGCCCCGCCGCCCCTCCCCGCTTCCTGCCCGCGCCCCGCGCCCGCCCGGCACCTCCGCTTCCTTCCCCTTCTTACCGCCCGCCCGGCCCCTCCTTTCCCCGCCCGCCCGGGCCCCGCCCCGGCCCCGCCCGACCTCTCCCGGCTTCGTATGCCTGTCAGTCGGTCGGCAGGGCGCGGGCTCCTCCGTTTCTCGCCTCTGCCTGCCCAGTGTCCATCGTCACCTCCCTGCGGGCAGCCCGCCCCGCTTTCTGTCTCTGCGTGTCTCTCGCTCTTCCTTTCTCTGCCTCGCTGCGCGTGTTTCTTCTGTCCGTGTCCCTCTCTCTCTCTCTCTCTCCCCTTCTCCGTCTGGGTCTTTCTCTCCCGTTACTGGGTCCTTGCTTCTCTGCCATGTCCGTCTCCGCACCCCGTCACTTTGTCCCCCAAAGCCCTTCTCTTTCCATGTCTGGGTCTCTATATCTCGCCATCTCGGTCATTTCCCCTGTTGCTTTCTCTAGAGGCTCAGGGGTCCACCTCGCCATGCCCACTTTCCTATGGAGCCTTCTTTCCTTTCTGTCTCTTCTGCTGTCTCTCTGTCTCAGTGTCCCTGTCTCTGATTCCCCTGTCTCTTGTCTTTCTTCACTTGTGTTGTCTCTCCACTACTATCTCTGTGTCTCAGTCTCTCTCCCCACTCTCTCAGAAACTCCGCATCTCTCTGCCTCTCTGCCGCTGACCCCTGGGTCTCTTCACCAGCCCCAAGTTAGGGCCACAGACTCTCCAAATCCCCTTACCACAATTCTGCTCTCGGGGAACAGGTGTGGCCTGGCTGTATCAGCCGCACCAGATGGGGACCGGTGTGTTTGTGGGACTTAAATATGCATGAATAAATGCAGTTATAAATAAATACGATTGCCTCACCTGACTCCCTCCTGTACCCCATCCCCCAGAGACAAGGCTCATGATGGTCCTCCCCAAGACACTTCCTGTTTCTCTCAGGAGGGCCGCTGACTGGCTACCTGGTCTCGCTGTGGGAAGTGGGCAGGGGCTAGGGCTCAGAATCCGCGGTCTGAGGGAGGAGGGGGTCTGGACTCCAGCGTCCCAGGGGAAGGGGGCAGTCCCTATGAGATCCATGACTCCTGCCAAGGTCTGCAATTGGGAGGGATTTATTATCACTAAGTGGCCATGACAGAGCAGGGAGGGGGCGGGGTGACACTAACGAGGCTGCTACAATCAGCTCCCCTAGAGGCAGTGATCAAGGGCTCATTACCCGCTGAGGTGGGGGACTGGGGAGGCAGCAGGCAGAGGACTGTATCAGGGGATGACAGTCTACAGGGAAGAGCAAACACCCCCAAGGGGAAAGTTGAGTCAGGGCACTCCCAGGAAAGATTGAGAGAAGAGGTCGAGTTTGAGTGGCAGGCAGAGACACGATGCAGTCACGGCTTCTCCAGCTGGACGTCTCCGATGTGGAGGTTGCCCACGTCCTGGTAGGTGCCCTGGAGGCCCCGGGAGATGTCCTCATACATGGAGCAGTCGTCCAGGTTCAGACCCTGGAGTGGAAATACAGTGGTGGCCCTGACACCTGGCTCCTGGGCCCTGGCTGACCCCGGGGGAGGAACTCCGTGAAATGCCCCCAATCCCCCCGCTCCTCCAGTGCACCTACTCCTAACCTGTCCCCACCTCCCCTCACCTCATACAGATTTTCATCTTCGTAGTCATCCTGGCCATCGGGCCCGAACTTCATGTTCTGCCACCGTTTCTGTTGGGACATGGGAAAGCCTCAGTAAGGGCAATGGGGGAGAGTATGTGTTCAGACCCTCCTGGAAGGAAGAGGGTAAGGGATGTGCCCAGAGCCACATATCGACTAAGTGACAGTTCTCTCTGGGTCCAAGTCAGTGTCCTTCTGGCTGTCACCACTGTCCTGTGGCTCGCCACAGGCACAATAGGAATAGTAAATGGCAATAGTTGCCCTGTGACCTAAAGAGAGGCTGGTGCAGGTCCGAGCCTCTGGGAGAACCCCCAGACCCTGTTTTCCCTGGCCTTGGCCAGTTCTGGAGGGCCCAGGGGAGGGCGAGGACAGCCCTCGGATGGGGCATTGAGGACAACCAGGGTGGGGCGGGGGGGGGTGCTGGTGAGGACAACCCCGAGGGGAGGCTGAGCCAGGACCACTTAAAATCCTGTCCCTATTAATTCATTCACCCGCCACGGCCCCCGAGGTGGGTGTTGTCATTCTCCCAGGTTTCAGGTCGGGACCCTCAGACCCAGAGGGCCCTGCCCCCCCGGGGGGCTCACCCTGAACAGCAGCAGCGTCCCAGGCACTACGGCGCAGAACAGCAGGATGATCCCCTCGGCAGTGATGATGTTGTTCTTGGTGCCCTCCCCCATGTCCAGGAAGGGCCTGGGTGGTGGCTCTGTAAGGAGAGGGCGCTGCTCAGAGCCTGGGCGCCTCCTGCCCCCCTGGCCCCGCCCGCAGCAAGGCCTGAGACCACTTGAAGCTCCCCACTCCGCAGATGAGAAAATTGTCAGTGTGTGGGAGCCACGAAGTGAGGATGCCCGCGACACGGGCCCTGGCTGGGTCCCCACTTCCCCGCTGGAGAGGGAGCGTCCCTAGCGCAGAATGGAGCCAGGGCCGGCACTCACCGCGCACGCGGAGGTAGGTGCCGCAGGACTGCTTGGATTCTCCGCCATCCTCCTCGATGAGGCACCTGTACAGGGCCATGTGGCTCTTGTTCACCTGAGGGATGGTCAGCTCGCCATTGGGACCCTTGCCCACACTCCAGAACACAGGGGACCATGTGGCATTGCCTTGCAGGATGCGCCACCACGTGACTTTGAGGTGGCTGGCTGGCTTGCTGCTGTTGTGCAAGCACAGGAGGCGGGCCTTGTCTCCCACACTCACCGTCACCGATGGCGGGCCCCCATCTACCCACAGGGCTTGGCACCCGGGGCCTGTGGGGAGGCAGGGAGGTCAGGGACTGTGGGAGGGGACACAGGCCCCAGCCCTGGTCCCCGCAGCTGCAGCACTCCTGGGTGTGTGGGAGGGTATGAGGACACCCCTAGGGGAGGAGCGAGGAGGGGAGAGGATTTCAGAGCTGCGAGCAGGAATGAGGCTGCCTCTGTGGGGCAGAATCAGGATCAGTACATGCAGTGGGGATGAGGGGAGACAGCCCTGGGGGTGGGGACAGCCTGGGGGAAAAGAGAAAGACTCCCTGGGTGGGAACACGCTCCTGGTGGTCCCCACTCACCTCTCCAGCACCCCTCTTGACACCCTCCCCACACCCACTCTATGCTTTGGCGGCACTGACCTCACCACATTTGGATATTTGGTTCCCTCGTGCTAGAAGTGCCCCTGCCCAGGCAGCTCTTTCCAGAATCCAATTGGGCATCTGTCCTCCTGCAGGCTTTCCTGGTCCTCTTTCCCAGCCCCAATCCCGGCCAGGCCTTGCACCTGGCACTCTATCTTGTGTAACCATTACACACTCTTAGAAGTAGGTTCTCTCCTTATCCCATTTTGTAGGCCCAGGGAGGACACGTTGGCCGCCCAGTGTCAGCAAGGCAGCGGTGGTGGCTCGAAGGTTCAAACCCTCGGCCCTGCTGGGCCTCTTCTGGTCAGTCTTTGGGCCAGCCTTTCCCTGTGACCCTGGCCTGGACCTCCTTCTCTGTGACTTGCATGTGTCCAACTGGGGGTCAGGGGTGAGTCTGGTCAGTGGCTGGACTGGCGGTTGGGGAGGGCCCCAGCAAGGTGGTTGGAGGGAGGGAGTTGGTGGTCCAGCTGACTACTGGGGAAGCCCAAGCTCTCAGCACCCTCAGGCTAGTCCACATGGCTGGCTCTGCCATTTCCGGGGGCAGGAGGAGGGAGGTGAGTAAGAGAGGAGGAAGAGGTGAGGAAAGGGGCAGCAATCTCAGGGTCAAGGGCTCCAGTCGCGGCTCCGAGGGTAACCTTGCGTGAGGGACAGCCTCTCTGAACTCCGTCAAGCAGGGTGGTTACAGCCCTGCCAACTGGCATTGTGGGGGTGGCGAGGGCACTGTCAGTGAGAGGCCCCCTCCCACTCCACTAAGAAGAGGCTTCCTGCTCAGGGTGACTGAGATTCAAGGCAGAGAAGGAGAAGGCTTTTCACCCCTCTGAGGCTGAGCCCTAGCTCCACATCTCCTCCCTGCCCCCAGCTCTGGAGCTCAGTCAAGGGCAGCCTTAGTTCCTTCTTCTGACCTGTGGGGTCTGGCGAGTGGGGAAGGCATCTCTCACCTCTGCCTCCCTTCATGGGGCTGTGGACACCCCCTTGACTTCATTGAGGCCCCTCCAGCCTCCCTTCAGCCTGCTTGGGATAGTCTGGCAGACGGACGCCCTTTTAACTGGGCTTCTCCCAGCTCTGCCTCTTGCCGGCTCCTCTCCCCTACCCCCTGAGCGCCCTTTCCTCACCTGGGCCCTCTCTCCAGCTACCCCAGTTCCCCGCCCCACCAAATCCCCAGCCCGTGCCTATTAGCCACGCACCCAGGCCAGCAGCGGAGATCAAGAAGAGGAAGATGGAGGTGGGCAGGGTTTGGAGGACTCCAGGACTCTCAGGCATCTTCTCCCAGTGGGTCGGTTAGTCTGGGTTGCCGCGGTCCTGGGGTACCAGATTCCACCTGGCCAGACCCCAAACCCCGCCCCACTTCCTGCCCAGCCCTGCCGGAGATGGGCTCCACTGGCCCCACTGCTGCACCCTGTGCTGTTGTGCCAGGGGCAGCCCCTGCTGGCCTGCTTCAGGCCCTGGGTGGAGAGGAACTAGCTGCTCTCTGCACCTGTGGTGGCCACAATTCCCTGGGGCGAGGCTGCTGGGCTGGAGGAAGAGGCCAGCTTAAGGCCTGGCTCCTCACTAGCCAGACTGGGAAGGAAGCCGAGGGGGACCAGAGTTGGGGGTGCCTGCTACATGCAGGCGGTCAGGGTGGTGGTTCTGAGCTTGGTTTCGGCCCCTCACTGACCTTGGACAAATCTTGTCCCTTGTCTGAGCCTCTATGTTGTCACTTCTTGGGGTTGGAAATGAGGACTTTAGGGGCCGTGCATACATGGCACTGAACACATGGCCTCCCACACAGTAAATGTTACTGTTACTGCTCCCAAGGAAGAAATAAGGTGGGCCAGTCAGCTCCATGACTAGGTACTGGTTTCCCTTTCTGATCCTCAGCATTTTCAATCTGAGAGACGAGGATAAGAGTATCTCCCTGGTGTTATGACCTGGGATGATGGTCCCACCACCCAAATGTGTGCCCATGTTCCTCTGAGCATTTTAGGTCAAAGGGGAGAGAAATGAGGTCTGAGGGGTAGAGGTGGGGGGATGACATGAGGTTGTTGAAATGTTATGGGACCATCACACAGGCAAATGAGGAATGACATACAGGTAAAAATTCATCTCAGGAAGATTTTTGGTACCACAAATCTCAGAAACATGAAAAGCCTGTTTGCAGGAGAACAGATGCACGGACTGTGGTATACAGTTAGCCAACAGGGTCGCATGCAGCAGGAGACAGGCGGAGCTCCTGTTGATACAGCTGTCAGAAACGCAAAAATGTGAAAGAAAATGTAGCATATCTTGACTTAATTTCAAAAGGCAAGACCGCACCTTGCGTTTCCACTCACATCTGTAATGAAGGCATAAACCCACACAGGGGAGTGATACCCAATTCCTGAAAGGGGTTCCCTCTCAGGGAAGCAAGGTGGGTCATAACTGGCAAGGGTACATATAAGGCTTTGTCTGAGTTTTCTGCCATTTTACTTAAGCCGGATGGTGGGTTCAGGCGTTTGTCAGTCATGCACGCTGTTAAGCATGCTTGAAGTATTTCCTAATTTAAAAAAATGCAACAACTATCACCCCCACAGAGGTGCACGGGCCTCAGGAATTGATGATTCATGGGCTTGAATCTCAATTCCACTAACGAACTGGTCATTTGAGCCTGTTTCTCCACCTGTAATCTGGCCACAGCTGCCTTATCACATGAGGCCCTAACATTACACCTTGCTTTGCACTGCTCCTAGGATAGCTTTCCTTTTCTGGCCCTGGCCCCCACCCCCTTTCCTCCAGAGACCCAGGTGCTCTGTGGGGCTCCTTGCTGGAGAGCAAGCCATTCACCCTTCTGGCATCAGTTCCTCCCCATGACCTCCACCTAGGAAGAGGCCTGGGTCCAGAGGCTCAGCCCTAGGAATTCACCTCCTTGGCATCCTTCAGCTGGTGAGCTGGCTTCCAGGCCCATGACTACTCCCCAGTGGCTGGAAGCATGGCCACCAGGTTGCCGTCTGGGCACCTCCACCTTGCACACACCCATCAGGTGCCATGAGTGTTTCTTGCATCATTTCATGTCAACTCAACCTAAGGTTGTGCCCCTAAGTGTAGCCTTTGGGCCTTGTTTCCCATTTCCCTCACTGGGGGACAGCGCCCCTTTGTGGCGGAACCCAGGCTGTCTGGGTTCACATGCTGGCTTCCTGTGGCATTCCGCAATTCTCCAAAACATGCTTTTGGTCCCTACCTCACAGGGTGGCTGAGCATATGACACTTTTAGGAAATGCCTTGCACTCGGCAGGTTCTAGGTGGTCATTCAGCACAAAATCTTTCAGCACTGACAACTTCCCTACCTGTATAGGACTGATTTGATACTTTTCATTTGGAGTATCCGGGCCTTAAATTTGGGTAACTGGTGGTCTGCTGTTCTGAACCAAGGAGCCGTGTGCCTGCTACTTCCCTGAATCCCTCAGGAGTAAACAGCATTAGAGGCAGCAGTAGGCCCAGAGCATGCTTAGAGCAGCACAAAACTAGGGACCGAGTTGGAATCCGAGCCTTATCATTTGGAGTTCAAAGTCTAAGTACGCTTGGCCCTGGAAGATGGGACTGAGCTGTGGCTACCTTGGGGGCCTTGGCCATTCTAGCTGAGGTTCACCATTAGTGTCCCTCAACTAGTGGGTCTGGTCATACGGACTGTTAAGGGGCCCTTCCAGGCTTGCCCCTCCAGTGGTCTGCACGTGCCCTTTGGATCTCCCACCCCAACCAGGGATCCAATTGCAAGGCAGAGCTCCCATCCACTGGTACTGAGTCAACTGCTGTGCAGGAGGTCCACACAAACGGAGGGTTGAGTGGCAGCTGGCTCCCCAATTCCTCTTAAGCACTCCACCCAACTTTGGGGCAGTACAAGGAGCTCCATCTGGAAGCAGGGCCCAAGGCCATGGAGACCCCTCAAAATGAAGGCTCAGTCAGGCGCCCCCTGCCCATGTGTGAAAGGAGGTGCGGACCAGGCACTCCCAGGAGAGCTGTCCCAGGCCAGCATCTGAGCCCTGGCCCCTCCTCCCTGTTCAGCTGGGCCACCGCCTGAACAGCAGCTCCTTTCAGTTTCTCATTTTCTGAGAACTGCAAAGGCAGGATGTGGGAGAGGTACTGGGGCCTCTGAAGCCCAGCCCCACCCAACCACTGCCCACTGGGACATCTGGCCTCCTTGGGGCAGGACTGCTTCAACTGGGAAGTCTGGGTCTCAGGCTTTGGCAGCTGCAGGGTGCACAGCACCCAGGGATCCCTGGCCCCTTTCACAAGGGGAGGGAAATGTAGGGTTCCTTCCTCATGCCTGCAAATGGACGAGAGCCAATTAAGTGAGACCCAAGACTACGAATGAGGCAATTTATTAACCCAGCATCATTTGTTCTAATGCTTCTTGTTGGCAGCTGCCACCTGTGGGAAAAGATGGAAGAGTGAATAACCAGCTGTGGGGCCTGTAGTCAGGCATTTCCCTGCAGCCACCCACCACTCGCAGGTGCTGGGCATCCAGATTTGTGGTGTCACTTTTTATCTCCTCTCAGCCCGAGGTATCTCCTCATATTACAGAAGCACCCTCTGGGACTCAAGGAAAGGGGGTGTTGGGAGTGGCGCATGCCTCCAACCCTGCCCACTGCTCTGTGTCCACCACACAAATGTCTGCACCAGGCCCTGCTCTGCCCTGGGAGAGCTCACCATCTCCCTCCAGGCCACCCCCGACTCCCAGAGGGCTGACACCTTCCATTCTTTTCTGATACCTAAGTGACTAACATTCCCAAGGCTCCTAGGAGGCCTGAACCCACCAACAGGTACCCTCCAGACCTGGGTGGCTCCTGCTGCAGCTCACTGAATCCTCACACCACCCTCCAAAGCAGGCAAGAGTAGATCCCTCTACGGACAGGGAGACGGGCCTCAGGAGAAGGGCTCTGCCCAGGATGTCCAGCGAGCCAGTCACTGGGAAGGAACCTGAGTTCTGAGCCCATCCACCTCCCCATCTGATGCTCAGAGTGAAGAGGATGGAGGAACACCACAGCAGTTTGTAAGAAGGCTGACCTGGGAATGGGGGTCGTGCATGCAAAGCATGCCCTGTGTGAGAAGGGGTACTGGCTGCACCCCAGCTCCAGCATCAAGTCAGGCAGAAATGTTCTTTCTCCTGACTCTCTAGGAGGCCCTCCTCTGCCCCCCTGCATCCCAGGCTGTGCCCTCCAGGTGAGGAAATTCTCACCACCCAGGCAGTGTTTGAGGGACAGAGCCCTGGCTCACCCCAAAGCCTCACCTGTCCGGCGATTCTGTCCAGATCTCTCTGTCCCTGAGGTGTCAGTTTGCGGCCCCTGCAGGAGGGAAGGGTCATGCATCCCGTGGTGAGTGTGAGCTCTCTGCCTCGGCCCCACCAAGCTCCTCCTGGACGTGAGCCAGGGTTCCCAGGAAGGTATCTGGCTGCAGGACCACATGACGCCAGCCGGCTCCTACTGAGGCCCCAGTTGGCTGCATTCTAACAAGCTGGGGGCAGGGGTGGGAGCCCCCTGGGAGCTGACGGGGTGTCGTTTGTGCAAGCATTAGATCAAAAGCCCCGAAAAATCAATTGGGAAAAGTTAACGAGCAGGCTAATGAAAGCAGACAGTCGCTAAATTACCTTCCTGGAGCTCAGGGTAGTCAGCCAGAGAGGTTGGGGTGAGGCCCCTCACTGTTCGCTTTCTGCAGAATCCCTTGCCTGCCTGAGGGGCAGGTGCAGACTACGCAGGACAGACGTGGTACCTCTCTGCACGGGGGCAGTAGATGCTCCTACACAACTGCATCATAGACGATCTGCCCAAGACTCCTCCATCATCCCCTCTCCCAGCTTCCCTTCCCTGCTTACCCATCTTGGTCCTTCTCCACCATTTTCAGCCCCTCCAGGGCTTGGAGGACCCGGCGGGCCACACTCTTAGAGCCTCTGCTGAAGTGGCTGGGCATGACGCCATTTCTCTGACGTCCCCCATAGATCTTTGTCATAGAGCCGACCCCAGCGCCGCCCCGGAGGTACAGGTGCCGTGCTGTGGAGGCTGGGAAGGGTGTGAGGGAGACTTGAGGACCCTTCTCAGGCAGAGAAGACTCCTCTCCACAGCTGGGGTGGGCTGTAGGCAGGGCCTCACTCAGGTCACACATATACAAACCACAGTGGTAGCTAATTCTTACCATTCTGAGAATATATGCCAAGACCCAGCACCTGACCCCTCCTACTGTTCTGTGGTCGAGCTGCCTTGCACTCGGGTCAGGCCTAGGGGCCTGGCAGGAAGCTCACTGCCCCTGCCACGCTGCTATGAGGCTTAGGCCTGAGGTCCTGAGGATAAAGCCCACAAATATTTAAGTCATGACTGTCCATCTCCATGTGCCTGAGGGGCAGGAGTACAGGGACTTTCTGCCAATGGAGAGCAGCAACCCTTTGAGCCCCTCAGCCCCGGAGAACTCGAGGTAATAGTGAGGGGCAGAGCTAACACCCCAGGCAATAGCTGTTCCTAACCTGCAATGTGCACTGCTCCCTTTCTTGTCCTTAGCGTGGCATGGGCAAGTCCCTGATACATACGCACCCCACCAGCCTCCTTGGATATGCTCACACTTCTGTTCAATGGAGACACTTGTCTGCCAGGCCCTGTGAAACCTGCCTCTCACATTCTCTCCTAGAGACCTTAGGAGCTGGCCTGGTGGTGTGACTGGCAAATCATCCTTCCTCATCTGAGAACCAGGAGTGACAATCTCTTAGATGAGGACTGCTGTGAGGACTCCATGGTCTGTGTGAGTGCCATTCTTCTTTACAGAAAAGGGGCTCCGGAGGGTACTTGCTGGTCTCATGTCACCCAGCTCTGGGGGACAGCCCCTCCAGACTCTTCTGGTTTTCTACCTCAGGAGGCCACAAAGGTTTGAAAGAATTGGGGCCCAAGGTGCAGAAGTACCAGACTTCAGCCATCGCATAACCCTGCCTGGCTGGGAGCGCAAAAGCAGAGGCTCCAGGCTACGGGAAACCCCAGAGCCCAGCACATTAGGTTCTACTGCTCCTTCGATCTGATGATCAGCCAGGGAATTAAGGATTCACCCCTTCAGTAACTACTCACTGCTAAGAGCCAGGTGCCAGGTGGAACTGCCCAGGGGAGGTGAGCGCCTCCTCCCCCAAGTGGTCCCTTCCACAGTAGCTCTTCCACACCTTTCGTTACCAGTCTCCTCCTGCCCTGTCTCCAGATAAGCCACGGGCTCCTGGGGGCCAACACCGCAGCCCAAACCCTCACCTCTCAGGACCACTGTGCAGCCTTCCCCTGGTCTCACTGCCGCTGGCCTCTGCTCACCTTAAACCACTCTCCTTGGTTCTTCCTGTCCCATCCTACCCTTCAACCCAACCCCACACCCTGGCTCTGCCCTTCCTCCAGGTATCAAGCTGCCCACCTTGTACCAGGATGGAGATGCACCTGCTATAAGCTACCCCCACAATCTTTCTATCAGTGGACAGACATCATCGGAAACCTCCACCTTTTCAGACCAGTTCAAATGCCCAACAGCCACCACTGTCCCTTCTGCACCCTGGCCCTTGGGGGGGGATCTGCCTTCCTACTTGGGCTGTACCAAGGGCCCCCATGGCTGGGGAAAGCAGGACAACCCCAGAGAGGGGTTAGATGAACACTCTTAAGCGCAGACACCCAGGAGAGGCCTTGCACGAGGAATGGGGTGCCCAGCCTCGGTCAGTGCTCAGCCTACTCCTGGCCTGGCTCGGTATGGAAAGGGGTGGTCGGGGCCTGAGCTGTCCGCGAGATGGGGTACGAATCCCAGTACTGCTCATCAGCTGTGACAGTCTACCCACCTCCAGCGATCTGTGTGCTGGTACTAAAGGGGACAGCTTACTTAAATTCTGAGCAGTGACTGGCACGGTATAAGCTCCAGTGGTGCCCGACTATTAGTTTCTTCAAGGGGAGTGGGTTTACATTTTTCTCTCAATACCTTATGAAGCTGTCTAGTGTGGTGCCACACATTACAAGTTCCTCCCCCACCACCCCAGTTGGCAGTAATTATTTTCCTGGCCATCAGAAGGGACAGGAGGAGTATTAACTACACGATTTGGAAGCTTTAACAGTTGAAATACTGAGTTGTACAAAATACTGACCTCTTTTTTACCCCCCTCTCCTCAGCCCTGAGGACCCAGGCCCAGCCTCACCCTTTGCACTGGCGCCGTAACCACGCAAATCCAGGCCATCCTGACTGGTGTTGGAGGCCTCAATGAGCCAGGTGCCACCACAAACAGCGTCTCCATCAGTCCCTCTGAAAGCTGCCTGCTCCTCTCCTGCATCCTTGGGGTGACCACACACTCCTCCCGGGACACCCTGGTGAGGAGTCACTCCTCACCTTGACTTATAAAACAAAGGAGGGGCTGTGTCGCCCTACCCCCACTGAGAAAACCTCTCCAATTCTTTGGGCCAGGAGGCGGATGAGGAGGGTCCCGCTGCACTTGCATACAGAGCACGCCAAGCAAGTATCTGCACAGCTAACTTCTCAACAGCTGGTTTCAAGTTCACATTGGTGGCCCCGTCTTGACCTACTTACTGAGTCATAAGGTGGAGGAAGGAAGCCTCTGAGACAAATTTTGCCCTCAGCCCTTCTCTGACAAACTTCCAAGGAAAAAAAATCACTTCCCTGACTTTTGTGACCCCTCATCTTGCTCCTGCAAAGGCTCCCAGGCCTCACTGCTTCCACTCACATGGCAAAATTGGGCACCCAGCCCTGCACAGGGTCAGACGGATCAGTCTCCCTCCATCCTACCATAAAATGCATTCAGATGTTCCATTTGGGCAGTTGCTCACTGCCAGTCACCTAACAAGACACACTGGAATTTCACTTTCTCCTCAAACAGGGCCTTGAGAACTGAACCCAGGCCACTGTACCACCCCCTTCATAAAGCCTGTGTCCCTGCCCCGCCCCTCAGAGCAGGTCTCCTGACACAGGTTCTTTCTAGATCTACTCCATCCCTCACCCTACCCCCTCTATGCCACCCTCAGGAGGCTCTGGCCTCGGCGTTGGCCCCAAGGCCCTGGGATCAGGATCTGTCCACTCCTTGCCGGCTCCAGAGTGCCTCCAGAACACCTCCACTGCCCAAGCTCAGCCCCCCAGGACAGACCACTATCCCATGGCACTTTAGCCCTAAAGCCGTTGGGGGGGCTGAGGGGGAAGAGGCTAAATCCCCATGATCCAGAGAAGTAAAAAGCAAACAGAGCACAGACCTTGGCTCCAGAGTCGGCCTGCCATCCCCTCGCAGGGACACCTCACCTATCCATGCCTCAGCCCCCCTCTGTAAATGAGTATTTCCTATGACTCCAACTTGTTCAGAGTATGAGCTGACCATGAAACCAGGAGGGCACACTCTAGAACAGAGACCAGCAAGCCTTCCTTGTAAAGGACCAGACAGTTAAGTATTACGCTATGTAGACCATGCGGTCTGTCCCTGCATCCTTGCCTCTGCTGTGGATGTATAAACAGGTGGGGCTGTGTCCCAACAATAACGTACACAAGAGCTTGGTCTAGAACCACGACCCTACACCACCAGAGCAGCTGGCAAAGCAAGGCCAGAAAGGAAGCTTTGGAAACAGAGTAAGGGTGGCCAGCAGGGCACGCAGAGGATGCACACCTGTGTTGGGAGGTTGGGGAAGGGGCATGGTGAGCAGAATGGGGCCAACTGTAAAGGTGACCAACAGGCTCACCTAATCTAGTACCTTGGGTTTTGATCCCCCAATAATTTCTCCCAACCTAGAAAAATAAGGTTTAAATTTAACAGGAAAAGAGAGCTGAAGTCCCCACCCCGAAAGATGACAAGAGTTGGGTGGACTGTGGCATCACTAGCTGGCATATCCCAAGGATGTTACTTTGTACTTATCTCTAAAATCAGCCCCATTTTAGAGATAAGGAAACGAAAGGTCAGAACCTTTTGACGTCAATCACAAAACAGAAACCACCAGTCCTACTGGGGAGGTTTTTGATTATGTGCAGATTAAACCAAATACCTATCTTCACCTGATTAAATGGCAGTTATTATATCCTTTTTCCTTATTTCAGATCCAAAGCTGCCTTGACCTACTGTTTTTGGGGCACTGCCAAGAAACATTCAGAACCAGGTAGCCTTGCTTTTCAAGATGAGTGGATGGGGGTGGTGGTCTCATCTAGGTCCCATCACTGTTGGGTGTGCTCAGGGAAGCCAGCTTCCCTGCACCAGCCCATTCGTTTTTTTAAAGCGCAGCAGTGGGTGCGCGGATTGATCTGCCACCCACCCTACCTCCCTCAGAGAATTGACCTTTCAGTGTTCAGGGGTCAGAGGCCGCAGCAGGGTAATGTTGCCCTTGTGCCCAGTCTAGGGCTTGAAATTGAGTGGACCCCATGGACATTCAATATGAGTGCACCACCAAGCTACCAAATACTTCATGTTCTGAAGTGCTGGGCTACTTGTACCAAGGCCAACTCTTTTCAAAGTCATTCTGGAGTTTTGTCCATTTCCAAACTGCTTCCCACCTACTTCCTATGTAGAGACAAGCTTTGGCCAGGATGGAGCTCCCACTTCACAAAGGATGAAGGAAGGCAGTAGAGGCTGAACCTTGACAATCTAGCACCGACCTCATCCAGAAGTTAGGCCTTCATGCGGTGACAGCTTGCATAAACGTGCAATGTCAACGATAGGGGAGAACTAGCACTGAGCAGTGTTAATCCGCACATAACTCAATCCTTCCAAGTTATCCCTGGAAGACTAGTAAGAGGGAAGGCTGGTAAAAAGTCACACGGTGACGATAAGGGTTTTTCTTTTGGGTATTTGGGAATCTGTCGAGATTCAGAGTAAGGAGTGACCTGGTCAGATCCCCAACCACTTAGAACTTGCTAGAAACAGAGAAAATGATCTGCGCAATAAAAACAAGACAGCCGACTTTTCTCAAATGATTACTCTCTAACAAGAATGTCCTCAGACATTTTAACTGTATTAAGCTCATTCGATTCTATCATCCCCCATTTCTACAATCAGCCCCATTTTAGAGATAAGGAAACAAGAGGCACAGACAGATCAAGGCCACACAGCTAAGCGGTAGGGAAGGATGTGAACTCAGGGAATCTAGATTCCATGGACATAGAATGGCAAATGCCTCTTCCTAAAACAAACCACCACTAAGCAAAATAGGAACACTCATTTGTCCATGGGTTTCTCTTCAGGCACAGAGAAGCCATGGGTCCTCACATAAACCTCTTAACAAAGAAGATTCACAGTATGAGAGTTTTGAGTATCACACAAAGCATGCAATGACAGTCAGAGGTTTCTCCTTTCTTGCAATCTTGGGGATCAAGAGCTCACAGACCGAACACCAGAGGTATGGCTACACCAGGGGTCACCCAACTCCCCTCTTCCCAGCCAAACGCTCCAGTTCCTCACCAGCTCGTGTGTAGAACCAGTTCTCATCGTAGGGAGCCAGCTCTTTATGCTTGGCCAGCTTGACAGTGTCCACCCATTCAGGGACTTTCAGCTTCCCGGACCTGGGACCAAGATAGAAAAGCACAATTCAAGAGTATGCACAAACTCATTCCCCAAATCCCTTTCCCCTCAACACGACTGCAGGTTGACAGGAGCCGGGTATGTCCCACAACACAAATACGCTGAATCTCAAACAAACCCAGGCCTCATGCATAAAGAGTGAACTCCACAGAGACTCCAGTCAGATCTCCCCGACGAGATGAGAGAAACGTTGCTGGTCCTGAGGGATCAGGTAAAGACGACAGCTCCCGTCCACACACTCACTTTTTGAGGAAGGCTGCCAGGGCTCGGACGAACTCCTGCTGGTTCACGTCTTTTACAGTAACTCCAGGCATCTGCAAGCCAAGGATCAAGCGTGTGAACACAGGACTGCTGAAGACGATTGACAGAGGCGGGGGCCCTGCCCCAACACGACCTCAACCGCCGCACGCCCGTTTCTTCCGAAGGCCCCACTTCAACTCCAGGACCCAAAGGCCCCGGCGCCTGTGGGTCCTGGAGTTCACCAGCACCCGCGGTCTCTATGGGTCGCACAAACACAGCTCGTTCGCGTTTGTGGAGACGCTGTAGTGCCCTAGCCCCTGATTGAGGGTCCCCAGCATTCCCGGTGCCCACCAGGCCCAGGCTCGGTTCCCAGACCGCGCCGACCGGGCATGCCCGGGCCTGCCGTTCGCACGTGGCCGCGGCCCTAGGGGGCGGAGCGGCCCGTGCAGCAGACCCAAAGCCCCGAGGCATGCGCCCGGGGCTGCGGAGTGGGGCCCGACGCCCCGAGCCCAGCCGGACCGGGAGCGCTTGCCTCACCGTGTGGCCTCCGCGCTGCCAGCCAGGGGAAAGGGAGCAACAGGGTTTCCCGGGCGCACAAGTCGGGCTCAGAGTCTCGCGAGAGTTTCAAGCACTCGCGAGAATGAGATTAGAAAAGGGAGCACCGCCCTTCGCAGGGCGGAAGTGGCTTCGCCTCAGCTAAGGTGGGGGAGTGTAGTGACGGTGCGGCTGAGAGGCAAACGGGGAAACGAGGGGACGGCGTTGGAGGCCTGTTTCCAACCCGGCCTTCCTCCTCCTGGACTGTAATGGAGAGAGGAGGAAAGAGCGCCCGTCTTGAGCTGGGAGCATCTAGTTTCGTTCCTCCGTGGCTGGAAAAAACACTGGCGGAGACTATGATTGTGTTAATTTATTAGGTCTTTGGGTGGATAGGAAGAGACCGGGCTCCTGCCAGATCCCCCAGCGGAACGACCCCTTTTCCGTGTAGAAGTGGCTTTTCTGGCCGGAAGTGGGATATTAAGGGCGGAACTGTGGCGGGAAACCCGGGGGACGTGCGAGGAAGAAATGTGGGCACCACCTTCCCTCTTTTGCATACCTATACTCGCGAGAGTAGAAGGAAACGGAAGCTCCACCCTTCTTAGGGCGGAAATTGCTTCACCATGGCCGAGGCACCCAGTGGGAATGAGGCTCTAGAGACGGGCGGAAAATAAGGGCGGGGACAAGGGTGGAGGAAAGAAATTGGGAGAAGTTAGTTCAGCTCTGCCTCCTAGTGCCTGAATCTGTTCGCTCAGCCCTTAGTCTCATCTTGCCCACTTAGATTTACTTACCTCACTTACTGACTAGTGTAGCTTTAGGCTGTCCATTTACCCTCTCAAGGCTTCAGTTTCCCCATACAAAAAGAAAAGAAAAAAAGAATTTAAATGGAGACACTGGTAGCCCTTTTATTTGCACCTAAATTTTAAGTGGCTACTCCTGTACATGGTGCATCACATATTTATTCCATCAACAAATGGTTTTTTGTGTGCCTACCCTGTGCCAGGCACAGGTACACATTATGTAGTGTTACATCCATGATCCAATTTAATCCTTATAAGGTCCAACAACCAGGACCATGAGAGACACATCAATGGCCCGTTAAAATTGTTAACTTGTTGCAAAACGGAAACATTTAAATGGGTGTATCTTTTATATTGGAAACTTTTGGGAGTTTAAGACTTCAGAGCAAATAATATTGTTTTCCATAATCAGATACAGTGTATACAAAATACCTTAATTAGTAGTAAGCCAATATGTTATATCAATACCTGTTTAAAAATCTAAAACCGTCAGTTGGTTCCTGCTGATTTAACAAAATACCATGGACAAGATGGCATGTAAAGAACAGAAATTTATTTCTGACAGTTCTAGAGGCTGCGGCGTCCAAAATCAAGAAGCCAGCAGATTTAGTGTCTGGTGAGAGTCTGTTTCCTGGTTCATAGACAGCCATGTTTTTGCAGCCACCTCAAGGTGAAAAGGGGGAAGGGAGTTCTCTAGGGCATCTTTCATAAGGGCACTAGGGCTATACCCTCATGACCTAATTACCTTCCAAGGTACCACCTTTGGGGATTAGGTTTCAACCTTTGATTTGGGAGAGACACAGACATTCACTCTGTAATACTAACCAGGCTTCTAGCACGATAATCCATGTATTTACTTAGGGGCTTTACATTCACATAGAATGTTGTCAAAACCTATTTTACACTATTTTTGACACCTGAAAATAGTTTTAGTATCTCCAACTGCCCCCTCCCCTTCAACATATGTGTTTGAATATGTACTTGTCTGCATGTGTAATATAAATGTTCATATACTTGGGTAATTAATATTCACTTTTTATACATTCCTGATATTAATGTTGAATCATTTTAGTTTAATTCACTTGAGTCAATTCACTAAATATTTCTTTAAAAAAAAGGAAAGGAGAACTCATCAGAGGAACTGTGCACTGCCTCATTGGAACAAAAGAAGAGACAGGGTTAATACCGAATTGGGAAGGGTGAAGATTAGGTAAAACTTACATTAAGCAGTTTTGATGGACTCAAGGCACAGCAGGCCCTATGTAATGGAGTTAACATCATGCCTGGGCTGAAAAGCAAACACAGGGTCCAGTATCTTTGCAAATGACAGGGATAAGATAATGTACAATGCTGTCTCCAGAAATCCTTTCTTTGAAGCTCTGCACCTGGGTTTGAGGTCATGACTGCTTCTCTGTGTTGAAGTGACTTAGACCCTCCAGGTGAGAGTAATATTTCTCATTCTCCCTATTGCTATGATTTCAAAGCACAAACTTTCCAATAGTCTGTTGTTTTAGATAATATGGTTTCTCAACACTGCGTCTTTGGTGTTAATTTTTATAGGTGTTAGTTTTTATAGGTTTGGAATCTTAACAACTCTTTGAGGTGGTTACAGACCAGACAACTGAGGCTCAGAAAGTCAAGTCCAGGTTGTGGGATTTGAATTCACAACTGACTGATCCTCAACCTCTTTCAGTGACTCTATCAACAGAGACTTTTAAAATGGTTAGAGGCTGTGGTACATCCAAACAATGGAATACTACTCAGTGGTAAAAAGAAAGGTGCTATCAGGCCATAAAAAGACATGGAGGAAACTTAGGTGCATTATTATTAAGCGAAAGAAGCCAATCTGAAAAGGCTATGTACTGTATGATTCCAACCATATAACATTCTGGAAAGAAGCAAACAATGGAAATAGTAAAAAGATCAGTAGTTGCCAGGGTTTGGGCAGGGGAGGCATGAATAGTAGAGCACAGAGAAATCTTAGGGCAGTGAAACTATTCTGTGTTGATACTATAATAGAGGACATGTCATTATACATTTGTTCAAGCCCATACAATATACAACACTATGAGTGAATCCTAATATAATCTATGGACTATGGGTGAAAATGATGTATAAGTTTATTGACTGTAATAAATGTACACCTCTGGTGTGGGATGTTGATAGTGGGGAAAGCTGTGCTTCAAGTGGGGGCAGGAGTATTATGGGAGGATTATTTTCCACTCAGTTTTACAGTGAACCTCAACCTGCTCTAAAAAAAACAACTCTTAAAAAAAAAGTGGTTTAAGGGTGGGAAGTAGTCTGTGTTGTGAAGAAGGGACAGGGGGCGTGAGAATGCAACATTGTAAGAAAAAGAAATTCCTAAGGCATCAGAAAAATGTTTTATCAGTCATTTATCCTGAGACCCCAGAGAGTAATTGACCTCAGGCCCTGTCTCCTGAAAGTACTTGGGGTAAGAGACATAGATGGACAGAGATATAGACACAGCTCAGGGTTATCAGGCTTGTTAAGTAGGGGCCAAGGGTTCCTAGGGAACCCTGCCTGAGGGGCTTATTATAGACATTATTGTAAGACATGAAAGGGATGAATCTTGCCTTCAGGAAGAGCTCAGGCTCTCATATGGGTCTATGCAGGGCATCAGTTATAGGACTTTGTCTATGTGAACATATGTTTGGGGCTGCAGAGCCCAAGGTGCACAATGGGCTGGGGGTACAGAATGAGGCCTGCATGGACCAGGCAATGGGGGTCTGAGTAGAAACTGCCTGGGAGTGGGTGTATCATGTCAGTTTTACACTGCAAAAGGAGTGTGGTCAGGAATGGACCAGGTTCACATAGGGCTGAAGTTAAGGAAGTATGGATTCCCAAAGGACAGAATGTTAAATGAGCTTCTGAAGTAAAACCAGGGTGGCTGTGGAAGAGGAATCTTGTTTGGAGAGAGGAGCAGGGATGGTGGTTCAAATTTGGAACCTCATTGGCTATTTCTGCAGACTGTCAACACAGTACAGGAAGGAAGCTTGGAAGGGTATGATTTACCCTTTTGGACCCTGGCAACACCTTTCCTTGCCCTGCAGTGGGAAATGGGAAAGGGGATTGCGTATGAAACAGTGCTCACAGTCCATTGGCTGTAATCCAAGGGCTGGTCAGAGACCAGGGGCCCACTGGCTCCCACCCCTGGAGGAGAAGGTTGCTGCACCTAAAGAGGCAGCGACATAGGAGCACGAGCAATTCTTAAATCTGCCTTTTCCCCCAAGGATGACCTCTGCAGGGCCTCTGCCCCTCTCCCTCAGCCACCAACGGGAAGCCCTAATGATGTGACAGACAAAGTAGGCCAGCTGTGGTATGAAGGGCCGTGCAGTGGCCGGCCTGGCAAGAAGGGGTGGTGGGCTGCAGAGAAATGAGAAGGGCCTATAAAGAGGGGTTGGCCCCCAGCTCCTTCCCCCAGTCTCCATCACTTTATCCTTTCTTCCCTTTCTCATGTCAGTCTTTCACCCCAAATTATAATTTCTCTTTTACTCATTCCAGCTGTGACCTTGGTATACTGGGACCCTTGGTCAGCCCTGAGTAGCAGGGTCTTAGCCGCACCATATGTTGCAGTGCTTCCCTTCTCCATGATTATGTGGGCTTGGTCGTCCATCACTGGGAGAGCATGGCACAGCAAGGCTTAGGCAGGGCTACCACATATCTAAGATTAAGGGGCAATCATATATCTAAGTTATATCAAAGGGAGGGAAGGAAGGTGTGAAACCAACTTTGGTCCTTTGATTATCTTGCCCTGAGTCCTGAGCAGTGTTGTGGATCTGTTAAATGAGTAGGACAAGCCCACCTTCTCAAGGCCCCAAACAAGGAAAAAAAGTTGTAATTAGATGCCACCGCCATCAGTTATCTCGAATAAAAAGAGGGGAGTAGGTAACATCAGGAAAAAGAATCAGTGATCTGGCATGTCTTTTGAGCTTTCTGTCTGCCCCTTCCAAGGGTGGGAATGGGGATGGGGGCCTCCAGGTCTTCATGTCTTTGGAATAGCTCAAGTCTTCCCTTCAAGTTTGGAAGGGTGCAAGGAGAAGGACTCAACAGCAAAGGACTAAGAATCAAATGCAGGTAAGATCTTGTTATTTAATGATGTCTTGAATAGAAAAATATCTTGAGTTTTGGAAAACTCTTGGGACTCATGTCTGTCTTTTGGAGTTCTAATCTTTGATTCTGTGTTTTATAAAAATTACCTACTGATTGGTTTGGGACTGGACAAGTAGAAGGAATCTTCCCCCTATGTCTACCTAGAAATTTCCCCTAAAATACTTGGGCAAGTCACTTTATCTCTTTAAGCTTATTCCTTTATTTGTAAAATGGGAGTAATCATACATAACTTAGAGTTGCTATGAGGACACAGAGTGGGTACTAAATGAAAGGTAATAATTGTCTCTAACCTTTTATAAGTCCCTCAAAACTCAGACATATAAACTGCCCGAGTCAGGAAAAACCCTTGATGGAGACTCACTTGATTCTTCCTGCCCTGGTGGGCCTCAGTTTCCCCATTTGAAAATGTTATGTTAGATTAGCATTAAATTGGTATTCCACTGGCCAAAGCTGGTATGAAGATATGTTTACTACGGCCTGCATAGGCTTTAAAGAAGAAAACTAAGCCAATGTTTGAAAATTAAGACATTTTACATGAAAATCTAGTTTTCAAGCTTCTTTTGAAAAATCAGAAGATGTGGCAAGATCAAGCCCCTCCTGCTGGGCAACAATCCCTGAGTGCCAAAAGAAGGCTGCCCCCTTGAAAACTGCAATTTCCAGTTTTCAACTGCACTCTCAGTTTTTCTAGGGCTATCTGACCTTCCTTCCTCATTTAAATGATCTGCTTGGTCCTGTAGGCATTTCAGTTTATGGCCCTCAGGACACCTGGAAACTGTCTATGCCTGGCACAGAGCAGGCACTTAATTACTGAATCAATGAATCTCCCACTATCTCTCTCTAACACTCATTCTTATCTGGCCATAATAAGTCCAAGTTTGTATTTATCTGTGGTAGTTACTGAAACTGTCACTTTGAGAAGTAAATTGAACAAGTCTCTTATGTTAGTCAGGATAGGCTAAGTTAGGCTGTGGTAACAAACAACCCCCAAATCTCAGTGGCTTAAAACAACAAAGGTTTATTTCTTGCTTACTCACACAAACATAGTTCACAGGAATGGAGACAGACACGAGTGCATGAGTATGGACAGAATCACATGACAAATAAATACTCTGGAACATGAACTCATGCAAAAACACATTTCGACACTGGCTAGCTTAAACTGTACATCTCTCTCTTTGTTGGGGATTTGAAAGACCCAAGGACCCAGAGTGGGTAAGAGAATATCCACCTTTGGCCAAAGAAATGCCCATGTTACAAAAGCAACCAAAGCTAACAAAGTATCTGAAAGCTTTAAAAAAAAAAAAAGCTTGAAGCTTGTACTACATTAAATTCCATGCATAAATCCAGAAGTAAAATACCGAATATGTAGTGCCTGCAGGCTGTTACCCCTGACCCCAGTGAGGTCTCCACCTCTGGGCTTCTAGCTTAGGAGGGAGATGGACCCCAGATGCCCAATATTCAGAGCCACGGAGGGAGCAGGTCTGGGTCAGAGAGAGGGGCCCACAGACTGGGATCCTCTTCCTTCGGCAGGACCTGTAGGCAGGAAGGAAGAGGGCAGGAATAGGTCACGTTCATTTCTCCCCCCAGAAACCCCTCTTTTCACCCTGTCCAATCCAGGACTCATCCTGTTTACCTGGATTACAGGAAACACTCCCTCCTCCTGATTTTCCCACCTCCAGTCTCCCCTCCTCCGATCCCTCTCTCACAGCTACCATACTTGGCTTTCTAAAGCTCAGAGTCTCTGATGTGTGCCTGCCTAGCTCAGAAACATCCCCTGGCTCCCCTACATGCACGTTGCTGGTCTAGACTCCTAAGCCTGGCATGCCAGACCTCCACGAGCAGAAGCCTCTCCAGCCTTATCTCCTTCTGTTGCAGCAGTTCTTCTAGGCTGGTTTCCGCCCGCTGACACACCATGCCCAATCCACCATTTTGGACAGGAGAATTTTTAGGTTTCCCCCGGTCCCTCTGTCCCCACAGGTGTTTTTCTTTCCTCAAGATTCCTCTAGTTCTCTCCAGGTTTGCCACTGAGCTTTTGTGAAGGCATCCAGGTACCCCAAGTAGAACAGAAGCTGCTTGAAGGCAGTTATCAGATCTTTCCAGGCCAGACACTAGTTAGTTCTTTAGTTCCTCTCCAGACTTCAGCAGGCAGCTTGGATTCAGAGAGAGCACCTTGTGCTGAAGTCAGGAGACCAGGTTCTGCCACTCTTGCTATGTGCCCCTGGGCAAGTCCCTGCCTCTCTCAGGGCCTCACTTTACTTGACATCAGGGCACTGGACATTTGCTTTAAAGCACCAAACTGATAAAATGACCCTGAACAACTGTCAACTGCAATCCTAGGGGCTAAGTTGAGAAGCTCAGGGCCTGGGCCTCAGGATGTCCAACCTGCTGCTGAACCTGAACTGCCTCCTTGGTTAGTCCCTGCATCCTCCAGTACCTCCACTTCCCAACCATCCTTATCCCATTCTCTCCTTTCAGGGAATAGGTTACCTGGTGAGTCACAAGGGTGGTGCGGGGAGATCCAGGCAGGGTTGGGGAGCACAGAAGGAGTCAGGAGAGGAGCCTGGGATGAATCTTTCAGCCCCATAAGAGCCTCAGCTGCCTCCTGCTGCAGCTGCCGTTCTGAGAGCTCAGAGGTCCCAGCCAGGTGAGAGGCTCTGGAGACCTGCAAAGGAAAGGTAGAGAAGCAGACTGTGGACCCCCACTTCTGTCCACCCTCCAAGTGCACCCTCAGCCCCTGGTTACTTTGCTACCTCCTATTCTTCCCTTCCCCAGGCTCAACTTCCTCCCAGGGCCCCAGATCCCACTTCTTTCCCAGGACCTGCGGCTGCAGCAGAAGAGAGTCTGGGGTGCCATGGGGCTGGAGTATCATGGTTGAGCATCTAGAAACAAGGAGAGAAGATGCCAGGGAGATTAAATGCAGGGACGGACATGTACAAGTAAAAAGAGAGGCAGGATTTTGCTATATTCCAATCTGAGAATCTGAATACCTTCTGGATCATTAGGCTTTGTGGCCTTGGGCAAGTCCCTCACCCTGTCTGGGCCTGCTTTGTGTTCTGTAAAGTGCAAATCCTTGCCAGCTTATTCCTCCTCTCAGGGCTACTGAGGATTATAGGAAGTCATTGGTGTCAGTTTTATTAAAAACTGAAAAATCACCCAGAGGGAATGGGATGACTGTTCCTGCCCTTCCAGAGCCTGGTTTCCCTTCCCTTAGACCCCCAATCCCTACGGAACTGAGGAGCAGCTTGGCCCACCTTTAGGAAGCTTTCTCTAATGGCTTCTGGACTCTCTACTCCGCCCCTCCCCATTTCAGCAGGGAATTTGACCCCACTTTTTCTGTTTAAGCAAGTTTAATAGCCACTATTTGTTCAAGGTCGGGGCCTGTGCAAGGTGTATTCTATACGTTATTGCTAATTCTCATGACAACCTAAGAGGTAAATAATAGCATCTCCAATATCCTGACAGAAAAATAGGCTCAGAGAGGTAAAGATACATGTATAAAGGTTCACAGCTAGACAATGGCAAAGCTCAGAGAGATCTGCCTCACCCATTAGTCTTAGACCTTTCCTGTTTCTCTGTCACCTACTCTGGTGTCCAGCACAGGGTTCGGCATGTTAAACACATATCCCTCTCTTCCTACTCACATTTGGGGCAGGGCAGGGGGCCCTTGTGATTCTCCAGAAAGAGGAGCCATCAGTATCCGATGAAATCCTGGGCAGGTTGGGAGGGGACCATGAGCAGGCAGTCGGAGAGAGGTACCAGGGTTGACGCCTAATGAAAGTGAAAATGCGGAGTATACAGGGTCAGAGGTCATGGTTTCTGTACTCCCTCTTTCTGCCCTGTATCCTCTTCTTCTCTTTCTGAGACAGTGGTATGCTGGCATTCAAATATCTGTTGAATGAATATTGAATTCATCTTACCAAGGAAGGGATGATGCAGAGGGATAGCAGTTTCTTGGCATAGCAAGCGGCATACCAGTGGGGGCGGCATGGAAAGGCCTGGAGGGGCCTGAGGGCCCGGAGGCACGGGAGTCCAGGACAAAGGCAAGGCTTCCAGGGGACGGCTGAGTAGCAGCGGCCCCTGGGAGTTCTCCTGCAAGGGCAGAGGGCACAGGTTGGAGTCAGGTACAAGGCTGGGGAAGGAAGGGGCATGTTCCAGGATGGGGGTAGAGCCCCCAAACTTCAGAACTTGGAGGGCTGTATAGTCCTACCCCCTTGTTTTGCACATGGAAGAAAAGTGATTTGCCCAAGATGACATAGCAAGTCAGGGCTGGCCTAGAACCCAGGTGTCGAGGGTACAGAGGAAGGGGTCTGGGCAGGGGCTAGGAAAGAGTCACTCCTCAGGGCCTGGGCTCCTCACCTTCCCAGGCAGCGTCAGTGCCGGTGGGGCTGCCCCATGGGGGATCTGAGGCTGGGGCGCTGCGTTCTCCTTTCCAGCTGGTGAGGGGTCAGGGAGAACCTTGGTGAGCCGATTCTCCTCACTCCCATGTCACTCCAGCTGCAGACTGAGTTCTTCTCTTCCCGGACCCTTTTCTACCCCCAGATCTCACTGCATCCTCCCAATACTTGATCACACTTCCTAGCTGGTGAGGCTGAGACCAAGAGGGTAGCAACACCTTGCCCACAGTCACATGCCAAGTCAGTGGTGGGACTGGGACTCTTCCCTACTTATGCTTTTCCACCCAAACCCCTTCTCCCTTCCTGGCCAGAGACACTCACATGGGACTCCTGGTTGAGTGGCTCCCTTCTTGACACAGCTGGGAGCTTTAGGAGGGGCTGCCCCTCTCCGCACCAGTCCTTGAACCAGGTGCCTCTTTACTTGCGCCTCCTGCTGCCTACGCAAGGCCACCTGGGCAGCCATGACCCTCCGGCGCTCTCTAAAAGAGGGGTCATGAGTCAAAAGGCAGCCACCCTTCAGATGAGGCCCATCCTCCTCCCTTCCCTGGATCTCATACTCACAAGATGAGGACACATTTGTGGCACTCGCAAGCCTGGAAGAGGCAGAGGCGCTTGTGGCCCTTGAGGTGGGCAGTGACACCGTGGTTGCGGCAGCGGGCACATGTTGGAGAGCGACTGACGGCTCTCCTGGGGATGAGCACGGTGCCCTGGGGGGCTCTGGCCTCATCCCCTGTGGCAGAGTCTGAGGGGCAGTGGTGGACAGCAGGCATTTCATCCGTTTCCATGGATCTAGGGGCAGGCGTGGGGGTGAGGCTGGCCTCGTGGGCCCTCACCTGACCAGCCCCTGCCTCTGGGAGGCCTCGCCTGCAGGCTTTCTCATCGTGATTGTCTCCCACCCATTCCCCCTCTCAGGTGCATCTTCTTCCCAAGAACCCCTTTCCTCTGTTCTTCGTCACGTATTTTCAACTCAAACATTATCCTCTTCTGCTCATCTGTAGCTTCCCATGTACAGACCCCAGTTTTCGGTGTTCACATGCACTCTCAGGCCCCCTCAGAGAATTCTGCACCCCCTTTTCACCAACATCCCATTCCAACAGTTTCTCTAGGCACCCTCTGAAACAATTATCATCCTTCCCTCCTGCCTAAATCCAATTCTACAAATATTTTTATGCTCCCCGTTGAGGTCTCAGCCTCATGTATGCTCTGCAGTTCAATTTCCCCATTGCACCCCTTTTAATCAGAACACTCTCTTGCGTCCCCAGTAATGACATGATTCCCAAGGATTCCTTGCCCCACTTTCAAGAATTACGTTCCTTCACTCAACAAATGTTTGCTGAGCCCAAGAGCCAGCCCTGATCTAGGCCAAAGGTGCTTGCTCACCGCCTCCCGAATTCCTCTCCTGCACCATATGCCCTCCATCCCCTCGGGCACACCCTGCAGCTCTGAGCCCAGCGCTTCAGGTGCCCTTGCCCGCTCCCCCCCAACTGAGCTGGGGTATTGCCCATCGCGCCTCCCCGTAGAGCACCACCTCCTCTTGCAGCTGTTTCTGGGGAGCACCCCCTTCCAGCAGCTGCGCCCACCCCGCTCCAGGGTCCCAGGGAGGGGGCAGGGCAGGGGGGCACGGCGAGGAGCCCGGGTGGGGGAGGGTCGGAGGGGGGCGTGAGGGGCGCGAGGGGAAGATGGTGGGAGTTGGGGGCGATGGGGGTTCAGCGCCAGAGAGTCCGGGAGAAGCGACAGGGAGTAGCAGGGCGTGTTCGCGTCGTGCCCGCGGTTACCACAATCTGAGGCAAGCTGAGCCAGACTCAGTCAGGAGGAGGTAAAAGACCAGAGTGAGGCAGCGGCGTGAGGAACGGCTCTGCTCGCGCTGGTTTTTCCCACCCCTTCCTACAAGGACCAATGAGCTTCAAGCACTGCCTCCCGCCGCTGTGGCAAGCGTCCAATGCGCTTCCAGATTCTGCCCTGACGACCTGCCCCTTACCTCCAGGCTGCTTCGCCTTGCGTTGGACTATCAGGCCAGCCAATAGCGCGTCGAGTTGAATCTCACGCCTCCTTCCCCTCTTCCTGTGGCTTCTTTCCCAGACAGTTCTTCCCTTTTTGTGGGAGGTGGCCAATGGGACGTCGAGTACTGCTTCCAGGAAGAAGGTGGCGCTGCCTCCCAGGAACGACTGCCCACCCCGCCCCCAGGCGTAGGCAGGGACTCGTGTGCGCGTGCGCAGTCTCCATCCGGCCTGCCAAGTGCAGAGGTGCCTCCTGCACTCCTGGCCTCTACTTAGCTCGGTGGCTTGTCTTTGCTGTGGGGCACCTGTGTTTTCTCTGACTTCTCTCCTGGTGCCCTAACCCGGATCTACCCTTTTATGTGATTTCCCTGGTTCCTGCCAGGGTCCCAACTTCTCAGGTTGTTCCCCTTTCCGTATTTCTTGTCTGTGTCAGGGCTGATTTTCCCAACGTCCTTTCTTGTTCTCTCAGAGTCTCTGCCAGTCCCCTCTGCCCATTTTTGGACCCGCTTTTGCCACGTGTGTCATTCCTTTATAGCCTAGTCCCCTTCCTCCTTTCTTCCCCTTGCTTCCCTAGTGTTTCTGTCTTTTCAACCCTTTCCACACTCTGTGTGCATCCTTCTGGATTTCACCCGATACTCCAGGCTCCACTCTAATCACCGCCTTCTCTGTGTATTTCTAGTAGACCCATGTCGCGATTACCCTCCCCATCCTCTCTGTTTGCCCCCTTTTCCCAGTGCATGTCCCTCCCTCGCTCATTTTTTGTTTTATCCTCTAAGATTGTAACCTTTTCCCCGAGAGGCCCATCTCTGTGCCCCACTCCTCATTTTCCTGCTGCTCTGGTTGTGCGCTCGCTGCTGGTTCTCCTTTGTCTCCCTGCAAAGTTCCATTCCATCAGTTTGCATCTCTTTCCCTGTATAGTTTCCCTCTGACCACTTCTCCATCCTTTTTTTTTTTTCTTGAGGATTTCATTCCGCTCTTTCCTGTTGTGTCCCTGCTTGTGCTTAAATTGTCTGGCCCTGTGGTTTTGCATTCTGGGCTCGTGTATGCCATCTCTGATTGGCCTAACCGCTGTGTGTGATCCTCTGTCAGCCTTCACTTCCCCTTCCTGTGTCCCATCTTTTCTGAGGGTCTTAGCCCCTTTGTTTGCCACAGATTTCTGGGTTACAGAGCCTGTGTCAGGCATTCCAGACAGAAAAGAGTGGCAGAAGTGGCCTCTAGTTGGACTTCTCTGCAGGGGAGTGGCACTAGACAAAGCTGGAAAGGTTATTTGGAGCCAATCTAGGGGTGGCTGCGTGTGTGTTGTGTGAGGCTCCAATGCCAGTTAAAGAGGTTGACCTTGATCCTTTATAGATAGTGGAGAGAGAGAGAGAGAGAGAGACAGGGGAACCAACGTTTATGGAGAGCTTAGCACTTGCCTGGTGCTTTGCTTATCTTATTTTCAACAATGACGTGATGAACATTGTCAACCCATTTTATAAACAAGTCCAACAAATTGCATTGGAATTGGAGGGGTAAAGATTCCAACCTTGGTCTACCTTTTAGTCCAAAGCCTATGAACTTTGTACCACTTACATTGTTTTAGTTATTTCTAGTGATCCCCATTCCCCACTTTCATTCCCTAACCTTCTCATATGTACTCACTGCAGGTGGCTAATGCCTATCTTTTGGTTTGTATGTGTGCTTGCAAGATGTGCACCATTTTATGTGGATGAGGTTTGAATTTATGCAAGTGATGTGCTATTTATTATTTAAACTAACATTAGCACTGTACTTTAATGATTGATCTCTGTACATGTTATTTGTACACCTAATCAGTTGCTTCTAACTGCTGCGTGATATTCCATGATGTGCCTCCCCTGCGTGTTGTGCATGCACTAAGTCTCAGGGAGGGTCCTTTACGTTGCCTTCAACTCACTGTCACCACAATAATGCTGCATTCTCTTGTGTGTTCCTTTGTAGATGATGGTGGAAATCTCTGTTATGTGTACCTAGGATGTACCAGAAATTGGTATGTGTGAACCTAGTTTGCTTCAGTATTGCCAGACTCCTCCCTGCAGCACTGCTGTGGGCCTGAGACACTGATCAGAACTCTCAACCTCTGTTCCTCAGAGGTTGTTCCTGTTCCTACTCCCCCCAACCACCAACAACCCCACGAGCAGCTGTCCAAAAAGGTCCCTGGATCCCCACATTTCCTACCAAATGCTTGTCTTTTTCCAGCTTTCTGATCCTTCACCAGTCTGATAGATGTATAGTTTCACAGACTGCATTTCTCTGATGGTCGCTGAGCTTGAGCATCTCTTCACATGTTGGTCAGCCTCTGGTTCACTCTACTGACCATCGCCTCTTCACATGCTTACCCATTTTCCTTACTGGGGTTGTTCTCTTGTCAGTTTGCTGGAGATCCTTGGACATTCCTGCTGGTTTAAGACATTGCATATACTCTTTTGAAACCATTTTGGAGGCATTTTCTATTATTTCAGAAATTTATCCATTTGGTCTGGGTATTCAAATTCATAAATGTAGAGTTGTTAATGGTACTTTCATTTTTTAAAAAACATCTAATGTCTGTCACTTCCTATTTTTCATTCTGTATTTTACTTGAATCTTTCCTTTCTCTTGATTAGCTATGCTGGAGAACTATTAATTTTGTCAAAGCATGAATGTTACTTTTTGTTTTTTTTGTTGTTGCTTTCTATTTAATTGATTTCTGCTGTCATCTTTATTTCTATCTTTTTTTGGAGGGAGGATGATTTGCTGCTCTCTATACAATCTTTTGCACTAATTCATGAGCATATTTTTTTAACTCTCCTTGTTTCCTGATACATGTATTTAAAGCATACATTTATTTCTAAATATTGCTTTAGTTGTGGCCCAAATTTTGATGTGTAGTTTAAAAGAAGACTTGATTTTGAAGTGATTATTGGCTCACAGGAAATTGCAAAAGTTGTATCCTGTTCAACCCTCCCTCCCATTTTCCCATAGGGGCATCTTAGATAACTGTAATAGAGAAGCACAAAATTGATATTGGTACAATACACTTAACTAGACTACAGACCTTATTCACTTTTCACCAGATTTTACATGTACTGTGTGTGTCTGTGTGATGTGTAGTATGTTCATTATTATTTAGTTCTAAGTATTTTTTACTTTCCTTTTCGAACAAAGGGTTATTTAGTAATATGTTAGTTAATGTCCACACACATTTGTTGTTCTGATCTCGGTTTCTGGCTGGAGAACACCCTTCTTCAGTAATAATAGTGATCCTTTGAAGAAGCCAGCATTTCTGCTCAGCATCATGTCCAATGGGAGGACCTAAGTAGAGTGAGAGTCATGATTTGAGAAGCTAATGTAGTGGGTTTGGGCTAATTTGGAGGGGAAACTACGGAAATGGAAAAACCTGTGATCCTGAAGGTCTCAGGGATCCTATGGCACAAAAACTAACAATCAATTTTCTGCTTCAGAAACAGTGACCTAGAGGCAGGAGGATTGTCAGTGACTGACAAGAACTGAGCTTGAGACCTAGATTGCAGATGGTTTCAGACTGACCTCTAGCATCCAGGACCCAGACACAGGACCACGGGACCCCAGCGCTTGAGCCCTGTGCGGCTGATCTGCGTACTAGGGGCCATCTCCATCCTGCCTCGTATGTCGTGTGGGCTGGATGCTTTGGGACCCCCAGAGGGTGGGGAGCTGACTCATATAACTAGGGGAAGGGGGGCTGGTTATGTGGGTTCCTCAGGGGACTGGATCTGGGGAGACTGAGCTCTTAATTGGCAGAGTGGGCTGAGAAGGCAAGGTAAGGGGCAGATGACTGGTAGAGCATTCTCTCTTTAGGGGCTGGGGCTCTTTTGTGCTATGAAGCAACCTCCTCACGCTTCTGAGCAGTTTCTCTCCACAACTGGAAGTGGCTTCTGATGAGGAGCATGGTATGTAAGCTGAGGGAGGGCTGTGAGGAGACACTGGTGCTCATCGAGACAGGTGAAGGGAAGTGACCTTAATAAATGTCATTTTTCTTGCTCTTCCGAGAGCTCCATTCCGGGCATCCAGGGACTCTGAACTCGAGTTCCAGATATTTACCCATTATATCTTTGGGAATAATGTCAAGACCCTGGCAGGAGAGGGGCAGGACCTGGGGCAGCAGGGTGTGGTGTGGGCTCGGTAAGAGGGCAGAACGGAGGTGGGCACATCCCAGCAGGAGGGGGGCATTCTGGGAGGGAGGAAAGGAATGAGACACAAGGGAGAGAGGGGCCGAGGGAATCCTGTGCGGAGAGAAGTGAGGACAGACGGAAAGCGGGGATCTGAGCCCGTGCAACTGCGGCGGGGCTCCTGGGGGAGGGGCGAAGCCGGTCGTGGGGCGGAGCGAGCGGGAGGAGCAGGGCGGAGGGCGGAGGGTGGACTACGGGTGCGGCCAACGACACTGGTCAGCGCTCTCTAATCTGCTCCTCAGGGACCAGAAGGGCAGTTGTGGGTTTTAAAGGCTGCACCCAGCCTCGTCTTACTCCCCGCAAGTTTCCTACCTCGTTTCGCCGCCCGGATTGTCCATTGCCTCCTATAGCCGCGTCTGCCGGAGGTATCTCTGCAATAACCTCACCAGCTTGGATCCTTTTGTGAATATCAAGGCCAACTCTCTTGTGTCTACAGCATTTTCTTCGGAGAGCTGCCCAACCTGTGTGGGCCTGCACTCTACGGATTGCCTCCCAAATTCTGCTACCATCGATTCTTGCCCCCACGGTGCCTTTAAGTGTCACAGTTCCACCTTAAAATTTCAGTCAGGTGAGAAGAGAGAAATTATCAAGTGCCTGTTCTATGCCAGGCACAGTCTGGTGCCTTCCCATTACGGAGAGAGGCTGGTGGGATCGAGAGAAAGGACTGGGGTTGCAGCGACCAGGCGTATAAATTCCAAGGCGGAAGGAGAAGGATGCCTGGTGTCCAAGTCTTTGGTGGGAGAGCCAGTGATCTGGTCTGCGAGGGGTGTCTGGAAGGAGGGGCAGGGCGCTTGAGTCTTGAAAGTGTCCCTGACCCTCCCCCTCTCCCTTACAGGGTCTCTCAATACCACCTTCCTCCTCAAGGGTTGTGCTCGTGAACACCGGAAAGTGTTAGCAGAGTTTCGCCATATTGGGAGCATCAGAGTGACTGAGGTCCTCAATGTCTTAGAGAAGGCCGAGACTGCTGGGGCAGAGCTCTCTAGTCGGCGTCCTGCCTGGGGCATCCTCTTTGGCCTTTTGCTCGCCTTCAGGCACTAGCCGGACTGGACACACACCCACATCCCTTCACATAACCAAATAAAGTCACGGAGTTGCCTTTCTGCTTTGTCCTGTGGTCCATGTGGGCTGTGGAGGCATGGAAGGTGTGAGGAGGGCCAAACCTGTCCAGGGAGGCGGAGGGGAGGCCCATGTGGCCGGTGGTGTGGGGGATGAAGTGAGCAGGGGGTGGCGAGGAGGCTGCTGCCATAGTGACATGTCATTCCCAGCAACCAGGAGGAACCCACATATTTCTTTTCTCCTCCACCTTCCTTTGGGGACCTGAGTTCTAGCCTGGGTTCAGCCACTGACTCAGGGATACTGGACAACTCCCCTTTTCTGGGATTTAGTATCCTCACCTTTAAAATGAAAGGCCTTAGCATATGAAGAAAACAAATCCTACCATTTGCAAGAACATGGATGGAGCTAGAGGGTGTTATGCTCAGTGAAATAAGCCAGGCGGAGAAGGACAAGTACCAAATGATTTTGCTCATTTATGGAGCATAACAATGAAGAAAAACTGAAGGAACAAAACAGCAGCAGACTCACAGACTCTAAGAAGGAACTAGCAGTTACCAAAGGGAAAGGGGTGGGGAGGGAGGGAGAAGGGGATTAAAGGGCATTATGATGAACACACATAATGTAGGGGGGTCACAGGGAAGGTAGTATAGCACAGAGAAGACAAGTAGGGACTCTATAGCATCTTACTACGCTGATGGACAGTGACTGTAATGGGGTATGTGGGGGGGATTTGATAATAAGGGTGAATGTATTAACCACAATGTTGCTCATGTGAAACCTTCATAAGATTGCATATCAATGATACCTTAATAAAAATAAAAATAGGAAAATGAAGGGCCTTAGGAATTAGGGCTGAGGCTCAGCAAGGTGATTTTAAAATACTGTTGCTTCTCAAAAAACTCAAAATAGAAATAACATTTGACCCAGGAATTCCCTCCTAGGAATTTACCCTAAGAATCCTAAGTGTCCATCAGTAGCTGAATGGATAAAGAAGATGTGGTATATATACACAATGGAGTATTATTCAGTCATAAGAAGAAAACAAATCCTACCATTTGCAACAACATGGATGGAGCTAGAGGGTATTATGTTCAGTGATATAAGCCAGGCAGAGAAAGACAAATACCAAATGATTTCACTCATATGTGGAGTGTAAGAACAAAGAAAAGAAAAAAAACCTGAAGGAACAAAACAGCAGCAGACTCACAGAACCAAGAATGGACTAACAGTTACCAAAGGGAAAGGGACTGGGGAGGATGGATGGGAAGGGAAGGATAAGGGGAAAAAAGGGGCATTACGATTAGCAGACATGGAGGAGGGGCACGGGGAGGGCTGTTCAACACAGAGCAGACAAGTAGTGACTCTCTAGCATCTTACTATGCTGATGGACTCTGACTGTAATGGGGTATGTGGGGGGGACTTGATGATGGGAGGAGTCTAGTAAACATAATGATGCTCATGTAATTGTAGATTAATGATACGAAAACATCTTATTTTAAAGAAAAAAATACTGTTACTTACTGAGCTCGGTGGGTGTCAGATACTGTGCTAGTATCTGAGCTAGGGTTTTATATCTAGCAGCTCAGTCCTCACAAGACCTCAGTGAGCTAGGTTTCTCTCTATATTACAAAGAAAAAAAAACTGGCTCTAGAAAGTTGATACCCGCCCAGAGTAGAATCCTTCTTGCCTTCCCTGAAGTCTTCCCTGAAGACTGCTGTCCCCTCTGAGGGAATCTTAATTGAGAAATTTGGAGACCTGGGCTGCTTTCCTCTGTCCAGTAGTTGTTTCCTTGTGTAGGTTGATGAATAAGGAGGAAGGAGGAAAGAGCAGCGCTGGGGGTGGCTAGCTTTCACCCTAAATTCAGGTTCCCAGCTCCTAGGAGAGGACAGTGTAATTCCTCCCTCTGGACATAAGAGGGCAGCAGATAAACGACCTTGCAACTTCACGTGCTTCAAGTCGGGCAGAGGCTCCTAGCTAGTATAGGGGAGGAAGATAGGGGAGGAAGGGTCTAGCTGGGCCATTTACATGTGTGATCTCAGTTTAATTCTCTCCACTCTCCTATGAAATGGGGAGGCAGACAGGGTACTTTGACTGCAGCTGAAGCTTTTTCTGTTACCTCATTTGTTCTTACTACAACCTTACTAAATAGATATATCACTTTGGTATCTTCTGAGGCCCCAGACCCTACCTTTGTTAATAGCTCAGGCACGTAGGATCTGATGCACAGGTGCCTGCAATTGGCCTCAGAGGTGGGACTGGGCATGAAGACCTCCATTACTATGAAGAGGCTTTGGAAAGGTAGCTGGGGAGCCAAAGGTGGCCATGTTGAGTGCAATAGGTTTGGGGGGAGACCAGAGAGCCTGTGGCCAGAGGCTGTTAGGTAACAGATGGAAGGTTTTATGGGTGAGTTTTATCAGTGGGTTTCTGTACGTCTGACCAGTTGGGTGAGTAGACAGTTTTAGAGGGCTGAGCAGATGCCTGGGTAGGCCTAGATGTATTTCCACAGATTCCCTTGATTCCACTGGCAGAGGTGGTAAGGACATCAGTAACCTTCAAGGGAGCTGGGAAGTCAGGGGAGGTGGTATGCTTAGGTGTCCCAAGTAGATGGCTCCAATCGTGATACCAGAGATAGGACAGAATTACTATGTGCAAACGATTATACATAACAAAAAATGTTGGATATGGACTGTGATTGAATGAACCCCACAAACATATCACTCAACCTAAGAAATAGGGTATAGGGAGTAACTGCATGTTCCTTCCCATCCCATCTCTTTGCCTCGTCCAATGAAGTACTCACCACCCTACATTTATATGGCTGGGATTTTTATATGCTTTGATCACATATGTATACTATGTTTAAAAAATAAATGTTTATCTGTGGCATCTTACTATGCTGATGGACAGTGACTGCAATGGGGTATGGGGAGGGCCTGATAATATGGGTGAATGTAGTAACCACGGTGCTTTTCATGTGAAACCTTCCTAAGAGTGTACATCAATGATACCTTTATAAAAATAAATAAAAATAAAAAAAATGTTTAGATTTGCTTGTTTTTGACCTATGCAAAAATTGTTTATTTTACGTAGTTTTCTGGACCTTATTTTTTAAAAACTCCTTCATGTTTCTATCACTCATCCAGGTTCTAGCTATGGTTTTGTTCTTTTCACTGATGTATCACCTCCTATTGCATTATTGTATCACAATGCAATTCTTGTCAATTACCTTGGCTTCGCCTCAGTTTTTTAATACTTAAGGCCATGGCTGCTATGAATATTCCAGTACATGCCCCCTTCTGCTCATGCGTAAGACTTTCTCCTGGGTACATACCCAGGGGTGGAATTGCTGGGTTGTAAGGTTGGTTCTGCTGTGGGAGACAATGCCAAGTTGCTTTTCAAAGCAGTTGTGGTATTTATACATTACTGGTAAGAGAGTAAAGAATTCTTGCTGATGCACATCCGTCCAACTTTTCAGACTTATCAATTTTTGCTATCTGGTTGGCATAAAATGGCATCTCACGTGGCCTACATTCATATCTCCCTGAATACTCAGTAGGTTGAGCTTCTTTTCATTCGTGCGTTGGCTGTGCTTCTTTTGTAAAATGCCTATTTATGTTTTGATTTTCATCTCTTTATGGGGTTGTTTCTTAGTTTTAGGTAGGAATTCCTTATGTATGTTAACATATACACTAACCCTTTGTCAGCTTGATGGTTTGTCTTTGTTTCTTATGGTATCTTTTGAAGAACAGACTTTTAATGCTGACTTTTTCAATCTTCCAGTTTTATGCTTGAAGCTCCTGTGCCTTGCTTAAGAGATCCTTCTCTACCCCCAAATCCAAAGGGTGCTCTCCTTTTCTCCAAAAAGGCTGGCTTTTCACATTTAAATTCTTGATTTATTTAGAGTTGATTTTTATTTGTCTCTGAGGTAGGAATCTTTCATATTTTCACATGGCTAACTATAGCCCAGCCCCTTTATTGAATAATTCTTTCTTTCCCCATTACTTTGCAATGGCATTTTGGTTACATACCAAGGTTCCATATCTGTATGAGTCTGTTCTGGGCTCCATATTTTCCCCATTGATCTAATCTATTTCTGTGCCAACACTACCCTGTCTTCATTTTTATAGTTTGTAATAAATCTTATACCTGATAAAGTAAGTTGTTTCTCCGACCCCCAATTTGTTCACCTTTAGGAGAATCTTGGATATTCTTGAACTTGTGCACTTCTAAATGAATTCAGGATCAACTTGTCAAGTCCCTCAAAAATCTTGTTGGGATTTTATTTGGAATTTCATTGGATAATAGCTGATTTAGGGAAGAGCTTATATGTTTGTGAAGTTGAGCCCTTGAATCTACAAACATGTGATTGTCCCATTTATTTAAGTCTGCCTTAATATTCTCCAGTAAAGTTTTTTATTTTCTGTATTAGTATCTTTTGTTAATTTATTCCAAAATAATCTATATTGTTTGCTACTATAAATTGTCTTTTAAAAATTACATTTTCTATTTGTTTCTAATCTAATATTCTGTTTTTATAGAAGTGCATTTGAGTTTTGTACAGTATATTGATCTTAAAGCTAGACATCTTGCCAGACTCTTCCATTATTTCTAATAATTTGTTTATAGGCTTTTCAGGGTTTACTGTATAGAAAATACTTGTGAATAATGACAGTTTATCTGTGCACACCTGGGGCATCCCAGGGTTACTCTTGACTTTAAATGAAATTCTTCCATTTTCCAATTAACAATGTTTGCTGTTTGTTTGTTTAACTTTGGCTTTGGTGGGGGTAGATGCCTTTCATTTTTTTTCCAGCTTTATTGAGATATAATTGACACATAATAGTGTAAATTTAAGTTGTACAATGTGATGATTTGCTACACATATATTTTGCAAAATGATTCCTACCACAGCATTAGCTAGCATTTCCATCACATCACATAGTTACCATTTCTTGTGTCAGTGGGATTATTTAAGATTTACT